AAGCCATTTCTCCTGTTTTTTAAGAAAAAAAAGCCATGAGCACGTTTCTGCCCAGCTCTTCCCCAGATCTCACAGAACTCAGCCTAAAGGCAGCAGTGCAATTGCAGCACCAAATGCCCTCCCCGGGGATATTTAAAGCCTGCAGGGGCTGAGCCAGCATCGTGAGGGCTCGGGCACCGCCGCCTCTGCAGCTTGGTGTGTTTGGTTTGCTAAGCTGTTATGTTAGCATTATTTAATCCTAAACATTATTAAATTTTATGCCGCTGGGTGTTTGACTCGCTGGCTGCCTTGCAGCATGGTGTGGCAGTCCCAGAAGTGTTGCAAAGTCGGTGTTTTGCTTGCCTTGGCATGGATGGGGCTTTGGTTTCTGAACATTTGCTGGTTTGGGGAGATTTTGGCTCCCCCAAAAAAAAGATTTTAGCGGAGGCATCACGCTGATGGTGATGGTGGCCAAGGGCAGAGCCCGCAGGGATGGAAATCCATTTCTGTGCCAACAGAACGACTGAGGTAAAAGCAAGCACTGGAGCATCAGGGGGAAATCCTGGGGAAAAAAAAAATAGTTGTAGGGCAAAAAAATGAAACCTGCAAGAAGAGGATCGCAGAGTGCTGCTGGGCTCGCAGGAGGCAGTGGGGCTCCCTCACCGAGCCCGTGGGTGAGGCTGAGCTGGGCAGGGGAAGCTGTGCCTGGCTGTGGGGATTGTCCCCTCAAGGTTTGGGGTGCAATCGGGTGAAAAAAGCCCCATCTTAAGCTTTGTTTTGTTCCCCTGCCTTTATTTTAATTTATTTTATTTTTAAATGCCCCCGAAGCTGTTACTATTTAAATGCAGATTTTTAGCTTTTCCACCCAGGAGCCAGAGCTGGAAATTCTTTCCACTGCCTTGGTGCAGGAGGGAACAAAACCTGCCTTTAGGTTGCTCACATCGCCCGTCTGAGGCCAGGGCTGTGCGCTCCCTCTGCCACGCACCCCCTGTCCCCCAGGGACCAGCAGGGACCACCGGGGGGACAAGGCCACCGGGTGCGGCCCCGGGCTGGGGAGTCCCATTTCCCCATGTTTTTCCCCAAAATTTCCCCAGGCATTTTTAAAGGGACTTCAGTTTTGCAAATAAGGCTGCTGGCCTGACTGGGGACTTGAATTTTCAGGGGAAATGGGTGAAATATTCTCCCCTTGTTCTCTTAGCATTGAGAGGGGGAGGAGAATGGGCTTGCATGTGGGTTTTCCGTACAAAATAATTTACTTTCCTCCATGGAGGAGGATGCTTGGGGCTTTGTGGCCCCATTGCAGGATTCCCGTGCACGGTGTTGGAGGGGAGCTGCCCTTTGCAGGATGCTCAGGCAACATTTTGGGGATGAGCCATTCCCAGGAGCAAAGGAAGGGGAGTTTGGGGTGGGACAGGCAGGTTTTTCCTAATGCCTTCTGCTGAGCTCTTGGGACTGTGGGGCCACCCTCGCTGCTTGAACCTGCCCTGAACACTTCCTTATTTATTTATTTTTTTTCCTTATTTTGGGGCTGCCATCGCCCCTCCAGGCAGGATGCCGGGATCCTGCAGAGCTCGGGGACGCTGCCAGAGCAGCGATCCCGGGGTGTTTGCCGTGGGAGGGGTGCTCATCCCTTGGCCCTTTTATCTCAGTGCCTGCTCCACCAGGCGGGTGCTGGGGGTGCAGGAGGCAGGTGCGGTGCGGTAGGCAAATCAGGCTCCCCCCGGCACGGCGCACCCAGGGCTTTGCTTATAGGGAGGGGGGGAGAACGGGTGGCAAAGCTTTTAGGGCTGTCCCCGTGGGGAGGGTGGCACCTGGGAGCGGGCTGGGTGCTGTTACGTGCTCGGGAGGCTCCAGCACGAAGCTGCACGTGGAAGGAAAGCCGAATGGGGTAACTCCGCGTTGTCCCCTGCGAGCATCGCACAATCATCCATGATAACACTAAAACACAACGGCTCAGCCTCCAAACACGTCGCTTTGTGCTCTTGCAACTCAAGGGTGGTGGTGAAAAAGCACCTGAGCACCCGTCCCCAGGTGGGATTCCCACCGAGCAGGGGATGGGGAAACCCAGCAGAGGGGTTTGGGGGCTGCAAAACCCCGCACGGTGCCGGCCGCCACCGGGGCAGGGAGCGGGGCCTTGTGGTGCTGCTGGAAATAACAATTTGTTCTGCGGGGTGAAGGATCCCAGAGCAAGTCCTGCATTGTGTCACTGGGAGGCTGCTGTCCCAGCTGGGGATGTTTTATTTTATTTTATTTTTTTTACTCTTTACACCACTTTTTTCCTGCCTGTTGGCAAAGTCTGGGAATTGGACGCGTTGCTTGTTTTACCCCTCCATTTCTGCTTCACTGCGTACGGAAAAATAAATTAGAGGAAGGGAAAAAAAAAAAAAAAAAAAAAGAATTTACAGCATAAAAATACTGCCTGAAGGAAGTTTTGGAGCAGAGGGTGGGGGTGATGCTGGTCCTTAGTCCCAGGCTGGGTGCTGTGCTTTTTCGGGCAGGGCGAGCCAGGTCCTGGTCCCGCCTGGTCCCTGTTGCGCTCAGGGGGATGCACGGTGCTCGCATTGCTCTGGGGCATCACCTTTCCCTCCCTGCTCGGTAGCAGGCTTGTTTCCCATACGGGAAATCTGACTTTATTCTGGGGAAGCTACTGAAACATTGGGAAAAGGGTGTTCAGATGCTCACTGTCAGGGGACACGCTCCGGGTCTGAGCGTGCACCTGAAACTTTCCTTGCAGTGCCTCCCGTGCCACCCTGCCGTGTTTTATTTGTTTGCTCTGACCCGGAAAACGGGGCCGGATCTCCCCGAGGGCGCTCAGCTGGCACCGTGCTGCCAGCAGGTGGTACCTGGGCTGCTTTGCCTCGCTGTCACCTGCTCACCGTGCCCTCCACGTCACCGGTGCCAGCCCTGCTGCACTGTTTGAGTTGGCGATAGCGGCCCCCTGCCCGCCCCACCTCTGCCTCGTGCCTGCCCTTGGAGCATCCCACACCCATATAGTCTGGCAGCTGGGATTCCCATTTCAGCCTGTCTGCACTCACTGTGCTGTCGCACGGGACTTGTGGATTTGGGTTTTTGCTGCTCTGTGTTGGGTTTTGTTGTGATGCGGCACCGGCTGCGCTGCGCTGCCTGGTACCACGGGGCTGACCTGATAAAACCTGGGGTTTGGAGAGCAGGGCGAATCCTCTTATTTCTAGTGGGGTGCTGGAAGTGAGAGAAGGGGGCTTCAACCCCAAACTTGCTCATTTTCCGGTGGTTTTAGGTGGATGCAGACCCGAAAATGTCAGTGCATTATGGCTTTCGGCCCTTTTTTGCAGGGTGCAAAGTGGGTGCTGAGCTGTCACATGAAGGGAGGTGGAAAGGGGCACCACCCAGAGGAGGTTTGCCTAGTTCCCAGTATGCTCAAAATCAGCTTTTTTTTTGGGGGGGAAGTAGCTGCAACAGCACTGCAGCTGGTTGGGGTTTGGTGGCAGCAGTGTCATGGTGTCACCCCGGTGGCAGGTGAGACCCGTGCTGCCGGCGGGGTGTTGGCTTCCTCCTGAGTTCACGGTAACCCATTTTCCTGCCCCCTCCGCGGAGCTCATGCAAAGTCCCCGCTCTGCAAACAGCCTCGCCGCGACTCCTCATGCAAACGATGCCCGGCAGAGGCACAACGGGCCGGCGGCGTTACGCACGGCTGCTTGGGGGCACAGCGTCACCACGGGGTGCCACAGCGGAGCTGGGACCTGGCCGAGCACCAGGTGCCCCTTGGTCTGTCACCTTGCGTGGTCGCACCCCTAAAAACCCAGCCTGGATGGGGAAAACGGCCCCGGGTGCCCCCTGCCCTTCGTTTTGGGGTTGGGGAGAGGAAGCTGCGGGCGGGGAGGAAGCTGCTTGCAAAAGGGAGAAGAGCAGCTTTCCTTCTGGTGCTCTGTAGAACACGCCAAAATGGTGAAGCCCTTCCAAGAATTTCATTTTTTTTTCACTGTGAGAGTAACTACGGGTGTTACGTTGTGGTCTGTGCCCTCCTCATGGTGGCAGGGCTTTGGAGCATCATTATTTAGGATTTTTGGAGGGACTCAGGCTTAAAAAACCTCCCAGCGAGCGCCTCTGCCAGCAGTTGAGGGGTGAACACGCAGGGTGCTTGTTTTCACCGTTTTGCTCAGTGAAGGTTGCTGCTGGGGCTTTTTGTTGTGTGTTTCTTTTTTTTTTTTTTTCCTTTCTCATTTCTCTGAATGAAAATAGAGGGTGGAAAACAGCCGAGCTGGTTTCGCTTCCTGCTCTCACACGTAGGGCTCTGCACGGGGGGCTTGGGGCGGCCGGAGGCACCCCGCGTCTGCCCTCGTCCCCCTATTTCCATGAAATCCCAAGGAGCTGGAGGAATGCCTCGGTTTGCTAGACAGCTGCAGGAATCTTATTGGTATAGGATGAGGCAAACCCTTACTGGACAGGTGGGCTGTGACGGGTGCATGGAGCTATTGGGGTGTTTTGGTGCCGTTTTGGGCTCGGCTTGCTGGGAAGCAGTGTGGCAGGAGCACGGCTTGGACCAGCACAGCATCGCCTTTGGATTTCCTTCCCAGCGTGTTGCAGGCTGTGAAACACAAGGGGATAATAGGAAATGTGGTGGGGAAGTTACAGGCCCCAGCAGGTCCCTACTGCTCCCTGGCAGCGCGTTTTATGGGATGCTCAGAGCTTTCTGCCCCAGGATCGGAGAGGGCAGCTCCCGAGGGTGCTGGGCTCTTTGGAGGCGAGCGTTTTTAGGCAGGCTGAGCGCAGGGCTGGATGCTGCCGCGCCCCGGCTGCAGCAGGGAAATGACATTTCCTGGCACTGGGGAGCACCCGGCGCTGCCTGCCTGATGCCAGGCGTTGAAGTCTGATCACAAGCAGCCTTCCCGTGGCAATATGTGCAGCACGAGCTGCGTTTGGGGTACTCGGTGAACTGCTGGGGTATAAGGGATTGCTACGCTGTTCCCAAATTAATATATATTTTTTTTCTCTTCCAATTTTTTTCCCTTTCTGCTGGTTGGGGTATGGATGGAAACCCCCAGAGCTCCCTGCAGAAGAAGGTAAGTGGGGGTGCGTGCCCGGAGGTGTGGGTGGGACGGGGGGGTGAAAGCTGGGGATGAGGCTGCTGGAGGAAGGGGAGTGTGCGGGGTCATCTCTTCTAATCTCAATTTTAATCCCAGAGACAGCTGGGCTGAGAACAGGGCCTTCCTCTGACGGAAAGGCTACCAGGTGGGAGTAGGAACACAGAGGATTTGGTTTCTTTAGTTAAAAACAAGTGTAGTAGAAACAGGGCAATGCCAGGAAGGAAGGCATTGCGTATTAGAGAGAAAAATCCCTCCCTGCTGCAGGTGGAGCTGGTGATGCCAGCTGCAGATCCAGGACATGAATGTTTACTCTCATTTGATTCAACGCTGCCCCTGGCACCGGGTGTCCCCTCTAGTGCCCAGAGCAGCGATGCTGCAGGCTCTGTGGGCCCTACTGGCCTCCAAATTCCCTGCCTTCTGGGGCATTTTGGGCACCGCCGGTGCTTGAGCTTGTGTGTTTTCCCCCTAGGAAAGTCCCTCTGGGAGCTGGTGCTGGAGCAGTTCGAAGATCTCCTGGTTCGCATCCTCCTGATGGCCGCTTTCCTCTCCTTCGTGAGTACTGCGGGCGGGCTGCGGCACCCCTGGGTGCTGGTGGGAGCTGGGGTGAGGGGGGCTTAAAAGGAGCCGTGTTTAAACAGAGCATCGCATTTCCAACAGCACTGGTGAAATAGGACGGGGTTTTTATTTTTAGGGGGAGTAAAGAGGCCAGAGGGATGCAGGTGCTGGGTGGAGGGGATGTGGTTGTGCCGGGCACAGCGATCGTAGCGCTGGCACCGCACGTGCGTAGGTGAGGCTGGAGGACTTCTCAGCACTGCTGAGCCACCCAACAGCGATATCCCACAGCTCTCCAACCTTCCTTACATTTCCCTAAGACCATACAGGCAGAAAGGGGCCCAGGGGCACGGTTCCATCAGCTGATCCCAGCGTTGCTGCTTAGAGTTAATGCCAATAGCGTGAATTAAATTAGAGGCCCTGGAGTCATCTGCGTGCCTTGAAGCTTTGCCACTGCCAGATTCTTCTGCCACAGTTTAATGATATCTTGGCAGCCTTGACTCCTTTCATTCAAGTAATCCGTGCTGAAAAATTCATGTCAAGCTGTTGAAGAAGGCACAGCTGGATGGTTTTTCTCAGCTCCTTTGGAAGATGCTCTGTCCCCACCCGTTCATTCAGCTTGGGACTTCTGACACGACCTAGAGCCCAACTAAATAACACCAAGGATGGGCAGGGGAGATCTGGAGATAACTCCTAGCCCAAGGGAAGCGTCAGAGCTACCCATCCTGAGTGTCTTTCAAAACTTCTGATGGGGATCTCCGATGGTGGAGACCTGACAGAGGTGGATCGAGCCCTTCGCTACCCTGGCAGTAATCACACCTGGCTCTGCTGCGCTGCCTGCTGAGCCCTGGCGCTATTTCCTGCCTCAGACCTGGGCAAGGAGATCCCGTTGTGTGTTTGCCAGCTGCAGAGCAGACCGTGTTCTTCTGGAAGCTGCTGTCGTGCCCCCCTGGGGCTACCAGAAGGCTGCGGTGCTGGGGTTGTAGGGCTGGGGCTTGGGGCAGAACCCCAGTGGGAGTGGGTTGGGAAGGAGCTGCCAGGGGAATGGAGATGGCCCCAAAACTTTTTCATGTGATCTGTCTGTATTGTCTGACCCTAATTTGATGAGCAGTATGGGCTGTGTGTGTTCTCGTTGTCAGGTCAGAACGTGCATCAGCCCTTTTTCCTGAATTTCCTAGGCTGAGGGAAGCATTTTGATTTCCCTATTTGTCACCCCGCGTGAATCTGTGACGCATTCACTGATGTTTTTCAGGGTTTCAGACTTCTTCCCCCTACTTTGTTAGCATTGTGCTAAATGTTTGCATTGATTTAGGCCCAAAGAGCCTCTTTTGGTGTCCCTTCCCTGCTCCTAATTCTTCCCAATTTCTTTTCAACACTTACTTTTCATCCAGCGCAACGTGTGCTGTGCCTCTGCGTGCATGGAGATTAAATAGTTAGGGAAAACCACTTCCCTTTGCATCTTTTCTTTGGGAGCTTTGGAAAGTAAGGACTGGCAGCACAAAAACATCCCAAGGGGTGTGTGCAGCACCTGCCTTGGAGCCTGGCCATGGCTTGGAAGCTGTCGCTGTGCTGCTGGGGTCAGGTAGGACGGTGCCTTTTCTCTGGCAAAAAATGGTGCTGCAGGATGGAGTGAGGGTTTGGAGGGCAGGAGAGAAGGCGAAGGGTCTGCAGAGACATCTGTCCACGGGACAGCAGCACGGATATGTGAGGTGAGCCCCGAAATTCCCTGTGCCGTGTTCGGGTGCTGCCAGCAGCGATGGGCACTGGGCTGATGCACGTGCCGAGGCCAGGAGGGGCTGGGAGCATTTCCAGCCCTCTGTGGCTTCTCTCCTGGGAGTACCGTCTCCCTCCTGAAGCCCTTCTGCTGCTGCGTGGAGGCATTCAGATTTTGGATTCGAAATGAAAATCCAATCTGTTGTTTAATTTTAATTTTTTTTTTATTCTTCCTCTGGTCTGGCAGCGTTTCGGCTGCTCGCGTGGGAGCTGCCTCTTGCTGCTGCTCGCGTCCTTCCCGTCCTGCTGGCACGGCCAGGAGGGTTCGGGCATCCCGAGACAGATCCAAGGGGCAGGGCTATGGGCAGACACGATGCATGGGGTACAGCTTTCCTTTAAACCTCTGCTTTTGGGAATGTCACCGGGAGCAGCTTCTGGTGGCGTTCAGCCCCACGGCAGCACACGGTGCTGTCACTTGTCCCCAGACGCTGCCTTCTCCAGCAGCACGGCTTCAGCAGGGCTCTTCCCCCACCTCTTCTGGGGGAGATGCTCCCAGCCTCAGCACCTCCACCCCGAGCATCCTTTTTTTGGCTGATTTTAGTCCTTTTTTTTGTGGTGCCCGAGCATTGCGCCCCATGAGCTGAACCGGGGAGTGGTTCCTGGCGGGGCTGTGCCTGGATGAGGTTGCACTGCTTCCTTTGCTGTGAAATCAGCTCATGGAAACCTCTCCCCAGGGGTTGCTGTTAGCTCGGTTTTGCTCACAATTTACCTTGGGAGCAGCTCGGTGGGGAGATGTTTCCCACCGAGCTGCTGGAGGAATTTGTGGGGTTTGGGTGCTGCCACCTAAGGCAGTGGGATGACAAAACGTGTCTCGTGTCTCCTCCTTTTGGCTAACTTAGCAACCAGCTGACCAATTTCATTTTAATAATTTTATTTATTTATATTTAATTAAAAAAATAGGCAATTCCTTTAAGCTTCCCAGGAAAGGGAGGCCACGTTACTGTCTCTGCTGGAGGAAGAGCTGAAATGCTCGCCCTCTCCTTGGCATGTGCATGGAGGAGAGGCACAGAACCGAGATTTTTTCTAGGTGAATATGAGAAGATGCTTTTACAATTCCCAATCAAGGAATCCCTGGCAGTGAAACACTGGAGCTAATGGGGCACAAGGGACATGGGGAGGTTTCCCAAATCCCCTCGAGGCTGTGCAGGGGTGTGTTTGGGCTAACCTGCAGTGACACATCACAGCGCGCCCTTCAGATGTCACCACCACTGGTGGTTCTCCCATGGGGCTGTGATTGAGCCCAGAGCGGGGGCAGTGCTGGTGCTGGCAGCACGAACTGTCTCCTGCTGGACTAAGTCGTGCGACACTTATTTCGGGATCCCACCTCATGTAGTCATGACATTTTGAATAAAGGTTTTAGCGCCGGCATTGTACGTCCCACTGGTCTGAAAGCACTGGGTGGTAGGGCACCCAGCTGGTAGGGCACCCATGGGAAAAGTGAACGGCGGGGGTAGGACTTGTGGGGAGGTAAGGAGGGAGGCTGGACCCCTGCAAGATAAAAATACATTCCCACAATAGCACATGGTGACATATTTGCTGGTGATCTGCTCGATGGCTGAGTCTCCTGGCGTGGCTCAGCTCTCAGAGCACACACATGGCAAAGGTTTTTGTGCCGGTGCTCGCTGCAGCCGAGCAGCCTGGTGGCGTTGTATTGACACAGCAGGGGTTGGCAAGCAGTTAAATGGAGTGAAAATGTTGGTGTGTGCACGCTTCGTGTCTCTTCCCTTGGGTCTTAGTGGGATGATCTCACCAGTAAGGAGCCGCAGGGTCGGTCCCTGCCACGTGTTAGCTGCCTTTTCTGAGTATCTCTTAAAATGTTGGTGCTTGTTCTTTCAACTGCTCTGCTCTCCTTCCCTTCTGCTACCAGATCCTGGCCTGGTTTGAAGAAGGAGAGGAGAGCATGACGGCCTTCGTGGAGCCCATCGTCATCATCATGATCCTGATCGCCAACGCCGTGGTGGGCGTGTGGCAGGTAAGGGACAGCCCCGTGTCTCTGCTCTGCGTGGGGGATTATTTATCCACACCTTATCTGAAGCGGGGCTCCTGGAGGCGATAAAGTACGTTGCCTGGCTGGTGAAAAATACATCTAGGTGGGAAATGCTGCTTCCCAAACCAAGAGGGAGAAAACCAGAGCCAAAGATCCAGGTGGTGTCCAGGAACTGTTGTGATTTAACCCTAGCAGAGATCATTTCAGAGCAAGCAGGGGCAGCTTGGGAAGGCATAGCCCGTTCCCCAGCCGTGGTGCCAATGGGTGCTGAAGGTGGGGTTGGGGTCGGGGTGCACCCATCTCTGCAGCTTGAAGGAGCCTCCCCTGCTGCAGCTCTGCTCCTCTGCTTCTTGCAGGAGAGGAACGCCGAGAGCGCCATCGAGGCCTTGAAGGAGTACGAGCCCGAGATGGGGAAGGTGATCCGCGCCGACCGCAGCGGGGTGCAGAGGATCCGCGCCCGGGACATCGTCCCTGGGGACATCGTGGAGGTGGCAGGTAGGGCTCCGTCACCCAGCGGTACGGAGGGGAGGGAGCTGGGGATGGGATGGGGATGCTGGCCGGGGGATGGTGGCACCCTGCGCCCCGTGGCTCCTTGTCATAGCAGGGTGAGAGCAGCAGCACCCTTGGGAGACACGGGGTGGCCCAGCTGCTGAGTCCCCTTGGTTTTGCACACTTGAGGTTTTAGTTGCTGCTGTCAAATCCAGCTACACATTTGGGCCAAAATCGGGGCTTATCAACCTGCTGGGGCTTCACCCCATCTGCAGGGTGCGGATTGATTAAAGAGCAGCAACAAAGAGGGGGTTTCAGGCACAGGTACTGGTCTCAGGGGGGCTTCTGGGAAAAGAGACTTCCCCCCGCGTTGCCCATCAAGCTTATCACCTGGATTTTGGCATGGCAGGACCCCTCCGGCTTCCTGCCTGGGCTTTGCCCTTGGTTTAGGGTGCCTCAGCATCTCCTACCTGCCCCACCAGTTAGGAAGCGATGCGTCCCAGTTATCCGCCGTTGTTTGTGCGTTAAACTATGCTGTAAACCCCCAGAGCCCCTGTATTAATCCTCCCCTTTCCTCCTCGTGGCCCTGCTAGTGGAAACAAGCTGCAATCCCTCCCGCCCCGAGCCAGCTCGTTGTTATTTATGTCTCCCAGTTGTGCTTCAGCTGGGAGATGCACATAAAAACTGTGCGGAGGCTGGAGCGGAGCAGCGCCTCCAGCCACGGGCTCCAGCTGCTGACCTGGCCCCGGGGTCTGAAAAAGCTCTGAGGGACACGGGACAGACCTGTGGCACCTGGGGACTGGCTCCGGGTGTCTCTCACAAGCTCTCCCAGGCCCAATTTCTTCCAGTTCACCAAGCCAGGGGAGAAATAACACTGCAAACAGCACAGGGACTTGCGCCCATCAGCTGCTGAGCATTTCTTTTTGATGGCACTGTCTGGGTCATGACTGGGAAGGAAAGAGCTGAGCTGGCCTCTGGAGGGGGTTGCTGATTAATAGCAAATTAATTGGCAAGTTTTGGTTTAGCAGGTTTATAGCACGGGGCAAGGAGGCTGCCAGCCTGCCTGGTGGGAGAGGTGGGTAGGTATTCCTGCCCCCCAGGGACACAACATGTCCTGCTCCTAACCATGGCCACGAGCTCCAGATAGATTTGTGCCAATGATGTGCCCGTACATCCCCAGACACAGGCGTGTGGTGTGTGAGGCAGGGGAGGCTTCCTGGCTGCAGGGGACAGACAGCTGGCAAAGCTGGAAACTAAGACAAGCAGGGCTGGGCAGTGGCAAGGAGGCTTTCTTGGTTTGAAAAACTGGCAATTAATTTAAAACAAGCCAACTTTGCCCATAATAAGCCAATTGAAGCAAGTCGTTGTGCAGGCAGCTGCAGATGGGTTAAACTCATCACAGCTGAACAGCATTTAAAGAAACCAGTGTTTGCTCCTGTTTCCTTCCCCTTCCCTTGGCTTTCAGCATAGCACATCTCTGATAATCCCCCAGACAGCAGCTGCTGGGTCGGTACGGGGTGCCCTGCTGTGCGAGGTTTTCATGCTACCTGCCCTGGAGTGGGAGCCACCCCTATAGCACCAGGGCTCGATGTGGTCTCCTGAGATGCCATCAGCAGATCATCAGCCTGCACGTCCAGCTCAGGTTTTGCAAACCCTCTCTGCCCTTCCCACGGGGGAGGACGAGCCCTTTGCCCCTTCTGAGTGGCTCTGGCTCCCTCGAGCATCTCCAAAGCCTGCGCCTGATGGGTCTGGGGGAGTCTGCGGGTCCCCGTTTGGCATCCAAAAGTGCGGGGATGCACAGCTGGGATAAACAGCTGCAGCGTGGAGCGGTGCCAGGGCAGCCCGGCCCTGAGCTCGGCAGGGTTTATGAGCCCTGTGAGGAGCTGCTCCTTGAAATCCGGGACCGGAGCTGTTCGCTCACGGCCAGGCGCTGCGCGGTGTGATGTAAGTCCTTGCGAGCGAGGGCTCTGCTGACCTCAGTGTTTCCGAAAAGCAGTTGCGTTCAGGCGATAAGGGAGCACGAGGAAGAGCCGTGACATGCCAAGAAGCCGGGAGGAGGAAACCCAGCAGGAAAAGCAGCTTTCAACACTTCTTTTTTTTTTTTTTGGTTTTGTTTTGTTCACTAACGTGCTGCTTCGGTGGGCAGCAAACAATGGCTGTCAGGCGGCCAGGCTGCTTTCACCCGCGACCGCCGCGCCGGGGAAGCCACGGGCGGCTGTTTGGCTTGGCCTCGAAAGGTCCTGGAGAGCTGCTGGCCGGGCTGGTGCCTCTGCAGCACCTCCAGGGCCTCGCCGTGCCCCTTCCTGGCCTCTGCCTGAGCTGCCCTGCTCTTTTCCTTGCAGTCGGTGACAAGGTGCCCGCAGACATCCGCATCATCGAAATCCGCTCCACCACACTGCGGGTCGACCAGTCCATCCTCACAGGTGCGTTGGGGTGGGTGCTGAAGGCGCTTTGCCCCCCTGTCCTCTGCCAAGAGCAAATTTTGGGGGCTGACACTGAACTGAGCACTTTGCTGGAGTGAGAAACAAGTGGAAAAAGAAGATTTGGGGCTTGGGGAGGACTCAGCACCTCACCTAAAGCTAAATACAAAGCGAGGGGGGTTCCCAGGTGTTCCCATGTGCTGCTTAACCAGGGGTTCCCATCCCCCCGTGCAGCCATCCCATAAGAGCCGCTGGTGCACGAGACCTCATGGCATTAGGGAGATGTGACACCACTGGGCTTTCTTTTAATTACATTATCTTTGTGATAAGCAGTGGAAAAGCCCTTAAAGCTGATAACCCCATAGTATTTCAAAAATTATCAAGCGGGGCATTATGAAGGCTCCTCTCTCAGTCCTTAGCTCCTCATCCTGGAGATAAAGAGGTCTTTGTTCCTCAGCCCTCATCTTCAGAGCGCTCTGCCATCCCCGTGGTGGATGTTCTGATGGTTTTGTGGCTGAGTGCTGCTGTGGGGGTTGTGATGGAGGCGTTGAGCAGTTCATCTCCCCGCTCTTGTCTCGGCAGGGGAGTCCATGTCGGTGATCAAACACGCGGACCCCATCCCCGACCTGCGCGCTGTCAACCAGGACAAGAAGAACATGCTGTTCTCTGTAAGTCACCGCCTCACTCGTGGTTTTTCAAAGAGATGATGGGCAAAGAGCCCCATGGACACAGGAGGTCTCTGGGCTGGGTGCAGTAGAAGCTGCATGTGCGAGACCCAGATCCATAGAAAGGGTCCTGAATCCGTAAAAATGGGGACCTGCTTCCACAGGACTTCATTTGGGTTGTGGCATGTGGTTCCCTGAAACACCTTGAGCAGTCTCAGCTGTTTTTTCGTCTTGTAGGGTGTATTATTAGGGTGTATTACCCTAAGAAGGAGAGAAGGTTTGTGGTTGAACCTGGGGCTGTTGCAGGTTTGGGTCTCCTCCTTGCTCATGCCCCTTGGACAGAAGTCAAGCAGTGGGAGGGATGAGAGGTGCTCTCAGGAGTCACCTGCTGCTTCGGGGTGTTTTTTTGTAGAGTCTCAAACAGCCATGAACCACGTGAAATAGAAACTCCTCCTGGCATGGATTGGGAAACGGGCAGGTTGCCCTGGGTGCTTTGGGGTTCCTGAAGAGCTGGATTCCCCCTTGCTTGATGCTGGTGGGACTCGTGCCATTCAACGTAAATCATCCAGGCTCATTATGGCTGAAAGAAATTAGGAGATGAAGTTCACTCCTCTGTAACCGAGCAATGGCAGGGACTGTGTGTGGGTTTAGGATGGACAAAGATTTGTCCCACGTTTTAGCAGATGGAGAACTTGTGGGGCCTGGTGTCTCATTTTCTCCTTCCCTAAGATCTCGTATTCTCCCTTCACAAGAAGCCACATATTTCCCTGCTCAGGCTGGGAGGTTTCATGCCCATGTATTTACTCCGTTCCCTTCCATCCCTTCCAGGGCACCAACATTGCCGCTGGGAAGGCCGTGGGGGTCGTCATTGCAACAGGGGTGTACACGGAGATCGGGAAGATCCGAAACCAGATGGTGGAGACAGAACCCGAGAAGACCCCCTTGCAGCAGAAGCTGGATGAGTTCAGCCAGCAGCTCTCCAAAGTGATTTTCCTGGTGTGCATCGCCGTCTGGGTCATCAACATCAGCCACTTCAGCGACCCCGTCCACGGTGGCTCCTGGTTTCGAGGGGCCATCTACTACTTCAAGACCTCGGTGGCCCTGGCGGTGGCCGCCATCCCCGAGGGCCTCCCGGCCGTCATCACCACGTGCCTGGCGCTGGGCACGCGCCGCATGGCCAAGAAAAATGCCATCGTGCGCAGCCTGCCCTCCGTGGAGACCCTGGGCTGCACCTCCGTCATCTGCTCCGACAAGACCGGCACCCTCACCACCAACCAGATGTCCGTCTGCCGGGTGAGTGCCGGTGGTATTTTGGGGTGCGAGGGGGGTGCTGGAGCATGGCCCCGTCCCCATCCCGGGATTAAGGGGCTTGATGTCTCCACCAGCCGGTTGCAAAGCTCAGGATTGTTTTGTCCCTGTGCAAACGTTGTGCTTTGTTCAGTAGGAATTTCAAGGTGTGCTTGGAAGATGTTTTGTTGGATGGTGGAAGGAGCCACGCGTTTCCTTCCTACCCAACTTAGGGTGAGGTTTATGGCTTACTGTGGTGGGGTCTGAATATAAAACTCACTTTTTCATCAGCACCAGCATGGAAGTGCAGTTTTGTTGGCTTATTTCATGGCTCCCACTCCACAGAGCATCGCTTCTGGCTGGGTTTCGGTATTAAGGCAGAGCTCCTGGAGAAGCCAGCGTTTTCTGCACCGCTTCTGCTCTCTTGCCCATTTTCCCTCTGTTTTTGACCAAGCCAGTGAGAAATTCTGGACTGCAAAATTAGGAAGTCTGGATCTGTGAGGCCAAAATGTGCAAGGTCAGTGCAAGGCCTGGGTCCAGCTGTCCGTGGTGGTTTGTTAGGAAAGACTGGGCCATCCCAGTGCTTCTCAGTTTCCCCATTATTCCTCAGGAAAGCTTTTTTCATGGTTTTGGCACGTCAGTTTTATAGGAGAACCTTGGAAAATGTGTCGCCAAGGGGAAAAATGGCCCTGGCCACTGTCCCTGCTCTCTGAATTTTGGGTAGTGCAGCAGCAACCGACCACAAGCTTTGGTTTGCTCAGCACAAACTCCAACTGGCTGGAAACATCTGATGTTTCTGCCCTGTAAGGGATTTAAAAGGAAACCCCATTGGAGTGAGGGGCTGCCCATGCAGGAGGAGGAGGTTCCCATCAGCTCTAAGCAAATAATTAATAAAATAATAAATACAAATAGATAATGAAGGACACCCCCAGCATCTGGGGGTTCTGCAGCAGGGCAGGTAGGATGTGGCAGTGCTGCCCCCCAGCCCCTTCCCACAGCTGGACCCTGCTCCTTGGGCTCGGGTGGGGGTGCAGCTGGATGCAGCCGCAGTGCCTGGGAGGGGGAGGCAGAGCAGGGCAATGCGATGAGGTGGGTTTAGCATCAGTTGTTGTTGAGCTCAGCCCAAGCTTGCTATCAATTTGCCCAGAAGAGTGCATTTGCAATAAATAAAAATAATAAAATTAAAATTCAAAGCATCCTGCTCCCTGCCACATTTCTGATATCCCTTTTACTTGTTTGGCTGAATTCTGCATCGCAGGACGCAGTACTGACAGCCAGGCTGGCTTCAGCGCACGAGAAGCACCCATCGGTGTTTAACCAAGGGGTGCTTGCGGCCAAGGTGCCAGCAGAGCAGCTCAGCGGGACGCAGCACGTTAATCCCACGTGCTCGTACGTGCTCCGTGCACGGGGCGGTCAGGTCTCGGTGCACCAGACACCAGCCCCAAACCTGCTGGAGCTGACAGCGCTGCGGTGAGGCAGTCAAGCCACAAACCCACTCCGTGTGTCAGCTGGAAGCTGTGGTTTGCATCGCTCACCTTACGGTCGGCTTGGGCTCTCTGGCGTCTGGTAGCAGTTGATAGCCCTCTGTGACCGGAGCGCCTGCTCTGTGGGTGAAGGGACGCCGTTTTTCTGGATTTTAGCAAGGCTTTTGGTGCCATCCCTCATGGTGCCCTTCTGGACAAAATGCCCAACGGCGAGATGAGTGGGTTCATGCGATGCTGGGTGAAGAGCTGGTGGACTGGTAGGGTTGTGGTGGCTGTGTCTGCCTGGCTGCGTTCCCCAGGGATTGGCTTTGGGGCTGGATTTTTCTATGTCATGGTCATTGATCCGGGTGCAGGGCCGGGGTTCACCCTTGGCAAGTTTGTTGGTGGTACTGTTAGCTCTCAAGAGACGAGAGGCCTTGCAGGGGGATCTGGCCAGGTCGGGGCAGCGGGCGATGAGCAGGGGAATGAAGCTGAGCACAGGGAACGCCGGGTGCTGCCCTGGGACGGAGCAGGGCTGGGCATGGGCACAGCCAGGGGGCAAGGGCTGGGGGGCTGCCCTGAGCATCATGTGTGGTGCTGGGCTCCCCGGTATAAAAAGGTCCACGAGGTGCTTGAGCACATCCAGAAGAGGGTATGGTATGTCTCGGTGATCCTTGTGGGGCTCTTCCAACTGAAACTCCTCTACTCTACTCTACTCTACTCTACTCTACTCTACTCTACTCTACTCTACTCTACTCTACTCTACTCTACTCTACTCTACTCTACTCTACTCTCCATCATACTCACCTAAAACTTACAGCACGCTCTTACGCACCACGACTAAATTGTCAAGGAGCCCAAGGACGGTGTTTGGAAGTTAGGAAGTGAGGCAGAGATGCTGCACAGGTTCGGATGTGCTGCTGTGCCTTGATTCAGCAGCTTCGTCTGTCTGAACAGCCCCGGGTGGTTATGACTTGGTGCCTGTCGTGCTCGGGGGTTTCCCAGCATCGCCGGCTGTGCCGTGCTGGCGTTGGGTGGGCGCTGTCAGCTGGGGCCACCTCCAGCGTGGGAGGAAAATGACGCTGCTCCGTGGGCTGGCAGATGGGTGAATGATGCTGATTACAACCTTCTACTATTCCAGACAGCTCTCCTACCTCAGTCTGCCTTTTGACGAGTGCTTTTTTTAAAGATGCCACAGAAAATACGTAAATGCGGGCATGTATCACTCACGCCTTACCCGCTTTTCAACCTGGAAATTTGACAAAACCTACCCAAAAACTGCCCGCCTCCCCCTCAGCTCCAGCTTGCCACTCCGAGGGCTGTACAAGCTGGGAGCAGGCAGGAAATCTGATGTAACCTTTGGTTGCCGTGGGTTTCACGGCACCCTCTTTTAAATAGGCATGGAAAAATAAAGGGCATGGAATGATTTTTTTTTTTCCTTTTCTATTAAGAAAGTTGCTATTGTGGAAGTGCTGATTGTTTTGTGGCTGTGCTTGAAAACAAAAGAGCTCCTATCAGGCAAAAACACCAGTGGCTGGGGTGGATGTTTTCAGGTTTTTTAATAAATGAGAGTCCAGTCTGTGTTTCTGAGCATGGGAATCTATTTTCTGAAGGGCCCACGAGATTTTGGCTCAGCTGAAGGCTGATGTCATTGGACATCTCAAAAATGCACAAAGGATGCTCCCCCTTCAAAAATCGCTTTTGGTGTTGTCTCAGAGCAGGTGCTGCATTGCCGAAGCCTCTGATTTGGGAAATTTCAGCCATTCTGCCTCTGTTTCTGATGTTCATTATCTTGGCCTCCTGGGTGGAGGACCCGTGGAGTCCCAGCTCTCTTCTGCCACCCTTTGCCTCGTGATTTTCTTCAGAACCCCTCAGGGATGCTGAGAGGCCTCGAGGACAGGCTCAGGGAAAGGACAGTCTGCTGTGGAGGCTGGGCTGGGTTCGGAAGGGTTCCCCTAGGAGGTGGGATGCACATTTTGAACACGGAGTGCCCTGTGCCGACTGTGGCTCATTTTGGATGTGAGTGTGCCTGGGCACCAGCCTCATCCACAAAACCCCTCTCTGTGACACTGGGGGTTTGCCTTCATCCCAGGGTGGAGCAGGGATGCAGTGACCAAGACGTGAGGGCTGAGACCCCAGCCCAGCTCCCCATTAACCACCGGCTGGTTAACATTTTGGGGCTTCCAGTCTGGGGGAAGTTCAGGCCCAGGTGAATTCCTCCTGGCTGATTTAAAATGCCATTTCAGAAATGGAGCCTTAAAAATCATAGCAACAATAATTAATAATAATAACAGTGAATTAACCTTTGTTGGTTGCCGGAGGGAGCGTGGGTGGCATGTGGAGCTGCTGCACTGCTGGTGCTGAGGATGAGCAGAGGAAAATAAATGGGGAGCACCCTAAATTTGACGGGGAGCACCCTAAATTTGGACACGAGTGGTGCCCGGGGTGCCCGTAGCAGTACCGTGCTGGCAGCACGAGGTCCCACCTGGCCCCACGCTCACTGCAGCACGGAGCGGAGCCAAAATATTTGATTTGCCGTGTGGGACGTGCGGCAGCTTGCGAAGGTTTCCACGTGCAAGGTTTCCTCAGCCCACCACCTCTGCATCCTCTGATGAAATGCCATTTTTTGAGTTTGCTGAACCGATGAGGTGTGACTGCACCGTGGTAGTGTGGCCATCCAGGAAGGTATTTTCTCCTCAGGGATTAAAAACCAAAAAGAGAGATTTTCAGTGCCTTGGATGATGTGGAGATGCTGTTCCCGGGGAGATGGGTGCCTGCTAGTGCTCAGCCACGGGGCAAGCATCACAGCAGGCGGTGTCCTAAATGCAGCTGTGCCTTAATGATGGGTCGTGGGACGGGTTTAATTAAATCATCTGGAGATGAAGGACAATTGTCCCTGCACCACTTTCACAAGCCACCAAGCAGATCGAGGAGGGCATTGCTCCCCCGTGGCTGGGGACATGCATTCATCAAACCAATTCTCTTTGCTAATTATGTTAGTTTTTGGCTCCAGCGTGGGACACAAATACCAATCAGGCAGCCAGCAGTGGTGCTGAGCCATTGCCCCGGCTGGGTCGGGTGCTGCTGGTGCCGGGAGCTGCCCCACAGCATGGGATGTGCTGGGACGGAGCCGAGGGGAGTTTGGGGAGAGTTTGGGGACAGGCGGGTTTTTATGACATTTTCATTTTTTATTTTTTTCATTGCTCTCACTGTAATGGCAAGGGAGTGTCTGGAAGGCATTTGAAAGGCAAAAATCACTAAAATTAGAGCGTGTGGGACTTTTACATCTCCCTGGGGCTTTATTAACCGGGCCGTAACCCCAGAAGTGCACCGGGCGAGCCGGTGGCCGGGAGCTGGCTGGAGAGGGGGCGGCACGGGGAGCCCGGTCCCAAAGCTCACAGCTGGCCGGATCCTTCCCTTCCTCCTTTCCTGGAGCAGGAGCAGGGACGTGACCCCTGCTCCGAGAAAAGCAGAGGCGGCTTCTTAGAAGCTGGCTGGGCCCCGCTCCTCTGCTGACGGGCAGGAATCGCTGGAGGAGGCGGGTATGAAAGCTGGGAGGATTCGGGGAGCGGTGGGCACCCAAAAATCGCCGCCTAACGCTGCGTGTCTGCCTGTCCCCCTCGCAGATGTTCATTATGGAGAAGGTGGAGGGCACCCAGTGCAGCCTGCACGAGTTCAGCATCACCGGCTCCACCTACGCCCCCGAGGGACAGATGTGAGTACGGTCCCCGCCGTGGGGACACGGGGCAGGGCTGAGCTGGGGGCCACGCCGGGGGGGACCCAGCCTCACCCCCTGTGGCTGGGAGCAATCTGGGCTTTTGCTCTCATTTCTCAGCCACACTGAGAACCGCACACGGAAACCCCACCTGGGCACTGGTTGGGGTTGCAAGCATTGGGTGGCTGCTCCTCGTGCTCCTCACTTTTGGTGGCAGCTGGGAGAAGCCGTTTTCAGCTGCTGCCTCTCTCAGCAGAGCTTTCCCAGCCTGTTTTGAGCCTGTCCTTGGGTCAAACAGGGCACCCTTCTGCCCCCGCTGCATCCCTCCGGGAAGGAGCTATACATTTTAGGGAGCATGGTTATTTTTCCCAGAAGAAGATGAAATCAGTGCAGGGAATCCAGGGAGGATCTGGGGGAGGCAAAAAGCTTCCCAGGTTTTCTCCCCGGCATGGGGAGATGCCCCCTGGCGTGGGGAGATGCCTCCTGACGCATCCTTGCCGCGCTCCCCTCCGCTGAGCCATGCAGAGGCTGCACTTCATCCCATCCTCAGACTTAATTTCATGAATATTTATAAAGCCAATTTGATCCTCCAGTAAGAATCTCCATTAAAATGCGAGCCAGGTCATAAGCTGGTATTAATCATTGCATTTTGGTTAAATAAGGATCGAGGAGCTGTGCTGGGGTCAGGTCCCCTGTGCGGCTGCAGTGTCCCTTTTTTGGGTTCTTTCACAGCACTGGGGCAGCAGCACTTTGGCCACCGCCTTTCTCAGCATGATCCAACCCGGTTCCAGGCGAGGACAGCCAGCAGTGGGCATGTTCCCCTGTCCCTTCCCAGCTCTCTCCAGGGCATCACACACCACAAAAACCATCCCAAATGTTTCTGCTTTCTCAAACACCAAAATGCAGCCCAAAGTGCTTTCGTCCCTGTGCAAACAGATTTTTCAGATTTTCTTGGCCGCTCCCTGTTTTCCGCTCCCGAGCTGTAAGAAGGGCTCCAAAATGTTCTTTCCATTGGGAACCAGCAGTGGAATAAACTGATCCTAATAAATGCCTGACAAATTATTTTTCCAGCGAGCGGGCGAGCGGCTGGGTTTGCACAGCCCTAACCTGCAGTTACCTCTCCTGGAGACCGGATCATTTTTCGCTTCCCCTGAAAATCTCTGCGGCTGTTTCCACCATTGGGCAGCAGGCAGGCGAGGAGGAGCATCCAACTTCGGTGCTGCCTCGCTTCCAGGCACATTTGTGCTCCTGTACATAGCACAGGGCTGCAGCTTCTGAAGTCCTCACCCGAGGCAACATTTTGCTGCCTGCTCAGAAACAGCCCCAGCGATGCCGCTGTGAAATTTGTCTCCCTCGGGTGCCCTCCATGGAGCAGGGAGGAGAAGGGACACGCTGCAGGTCCCGCAGCTCCTCTGGACACCGAACACTTGGAGACCCCGGGGTGCTTTTTCCTCTTTTCTGGTCCATCACCTTCACAGCCAGCCAGTGACCCGGGGGAGCTGTAAGAGGCTGCTGTCAGTCCTTACCATTCCTCCGCAGCCCCTTTTATTCTGGGGCACTTCATTTGCTCAGTGTATCCATTGGCACGTAGTCCTGCCCCACTTCTTAAAGCACAAAACGAGAGCCCAAGCGTTTATCGCCGTGCCCTGAGCCTTACGCAGGCTCTTTCCCCCTCTCTGCAGAATATTTTCCCCGGGCTCCGTGGGGAGAAGCTAAGCAGTATTTATGGTGTGGCTGGGCGAAGCGTCGGGCTCTGAGCCATTGCTTTCCCCCCGCAGCCTGAAGGACGAGCAGCCGGTGCGGTGCGGGCAGTACGACGGGCTGGTGGAGCTGGCCACCATCTGCGCGCTCTGCAACGACTCCTCGCTGGACTACAACGAGGTGCGTGGGGTCAGGTCGCTACGGGCTCCTGACATGCTTTTCCCTTCCCTTCGGGCCTTTTTGGGGTAAAATCAGTGGAGATTTGCCTCTTGTGATGGATGCCCAAGGGTTTCACTCCCTCAAGCGCAGCCCATCCTTAGCAGGGATGCTGCCAACGCGATGTGGCACCTCCTGGTCTCCATCCCTGGGGATTACCCACAGCCCCCGCCTGGATTCAGCCTGTCCCCCCTGCATGGGGACCATGCTCCGGGATGACCCAGCTAGCATCAGCATCCTGGGCTGGAGATGTGTTATGGGGCTGTGCTCCAAAGCTTGAGCTCTGCTCGTTTTTTTCCCTGCTCTCTAGTCAAAAAAAGTCTACGAGAAGGTGGGGGAAGCCACCGAAACAGCCCTGACGTGCCTGGTGGAAAAGATGAACGTCTTCGACACCGACACCAGCAAACTCTCCAAGGTGGAGCGAGCCAACGCCTGCAATTCGGTGAGCGGGGAGGGAGGGAGGGCTTGGGGACGAGCCACGGCCACTTGGGTTGAAAAAAGGACGGATCGGGCACAGAGGGTGCCATTGCTGGGCTGACAGGGGGACGAGCCTCAGTAAATCCTAAGGTGCCCGGTTTGTACTGACCCCGGGGTCTCGACCCAAACCCCAGTTCCACTCCTGGGACTTGCTCTGGGAAACGCCTCTGGTTTTCATGTGAACCCCCGTTCTGGCTGCTGGTTCGCTGGGGTCTCCCCGTGCTCCTGTGAAGACGCCCTTGGTTTCCCAGCTGGATTTGGTGTCGTGCCGCTAGGCCTCTCCACGTCTTTGCTTGCTCAAAGGAAGGGCGCTCGGTTGTGCCGCTTGTCCCGTGGATAGGTCCAAGCAGGTTGTCATAAATCCCTGGACTGCTTTTTGAGGAGGAAAATGGAGTTTCCCATCTGTTGGCAGTCCGGCAGCTGCTTTGTTACACGGCGCTGTCGCTCTGCCTCTCCCGGCCTCGTGTGCTTGCTGTGTTCATCCCCGTTTGCTCCTGCACTGTTTTTTTGGCCTCGCTGCCTGCCTGCTGTATCCACAGACAGCAAATGCAGGTGCCAGCATCCCCCTTCGTGCATGATAAACCTCAGCACATCTCCCTGCACATCTCTGTGCCCACCTCGCTCCTGCGCACAGCGTCGTGAGGAGGGCTGTGCCCTTTTAACTTTGAACTTGCAAGGTTTTGCCACAAAAGCAGCTCTTTTTTTGTCCCCTTTGCTGATTTATCGAGATTTAAGTAGCTGTAAAAGTCCTGTGCAAACAGCTGTTTGTGTCCAGTCGCAAACGACACCCTCCTAGCAACACAAAATAATAATTGCACAAACAGTGCAGCCATGCAGAGAGTCCAGTGAGCAAGGTAGGCATCAGCATCCCAGCTCCCCTTACTGGAAAATAGCTCAAATTGGCCTCGAATGCCCTGTAAATGGCTTTTTTGGGAGCATCCTTCCAGGAGCTGGCTCAGCTGCCGTGATGCTGATGTTGGTGCATGAAGGGGATCGGTCTGACGAGGACTGGCTGCTGTCTCGTTGTGTGTTTGGCTTCTGAAATTAATAATGTTGGCAATAATAATAATAATAATAATAATAACAACAACAATAATAATAACGTTGGCCTGGCTTTTGGGGTGTTGGGGTGCACAAGCCGGTTGGCGTGCCCCTTCCCATGTGTGTGTGCACCCTGCCTTGCCTGCTGACACAGCCCTCACCGTGCAGACCTCGAGGTACCGCTCGGGTGAGGGATTTTCCACCTGGTGGGTGGGGAAGGGCCCCCACCTCTCTGCTTTGTGGCAGCCCCCCAGCCGCCCTGGCTCAGCCCCACTCTGTCCCCGCAGGTGATCAAGCAGCTGATGAGGAAGGAGTGCACCCTGGAGTTCTCCCGCGACCGCAAGTCCATGTCGGTGTACTGCACGCCCACCAGCCCTGGCCACAACTCTGCCGGCAGCAAGATGTTCGTCAAGGTAGGGACAGGGTCCCCGTGCTCACCCCAGCAGGTTTCGGTGCTTTCTGGGGGTTGTTTCTTGCCTTGCTGTGTGTTTAACCAGCAGGTAAAGTGGTGTGGCCAGGGAGGGGGGAGTCTTTGCAGAAACAATGGGGGAAAAAAAAGAAAAGAACGAAGAAAAATGGGTTTAGAGGGAGGAAAACCTCTGAGCATCCTGGTTCCAGAGGGCAGGGGAGATTCCCCAGCCCAAAAGTCAGCTCTTGCTTTTATGCCTGGACCCTGCGGACACCAACAATGCCCAAAGGGTTCAGCTTTCCACTGGAACCACAAATAAAATAGTACTTAAAGGGCATTTCCTTCCCAAGAGAAAGGAGCAGAGGAGGTGCAGCAGGAATTACACTGCGCTGCCCCTGAGCAGCTTTGTGTCCTGGTGTTCCCATACGGAGATATTTGGGGTCATCTCTGCCCTCCGGGTCAGGTTGGGGCTGAGTGGAGCCACCGTCCTGCCCCACTGTTTTAAGGGGCGCAATGGAAGGATTGCAGGTTTCATCTGAAAGGGAAACTTTTCAGATGAAACTCTTTTCAGAAAGAGTCAAAAAAGGACAGGGTGAGATGTGTGTTTCCCTAAATCACAAAGGCATTGCAAGCACACGCTGAGCATCCTGTGGGAAGTGTGTATTTTTGGCAGCCTCCTCGGCCCTTGCCCCTTTGGGGACAGGGGGTTGGGAGCATAGTGGGCAGCCTGGGCTGGAGGGAGCGAGGCTGATCCCCGCACAGCACATCCCATGCCTTCTGACCCGATGCAGCTTCATCCTTCCTGGCCGTGTGCTCGAGTCGAGGCTGCCATCTAGTGCGCCGTGCCGCCAGGATGTGTGTGCGCTCAGATTTGGGGAGATTTCCTTCTTTTTCCCAACCGTTGTGCCTCCCCACCCCACGGCACAGTGCTGGCAGGAGATGCTCCATCTCTGGGCTCGTGTTCCTGTCATGTCCATCCCTTTCTCAGTCTTCACTCCCATGCTCACACTCGGGGGGTGATGCTCTGCCCGTGGCAGGATTTATCCCCTGTGCACAGAATCGCTTTGTGCCAGGGTGATGAGGGTGGGGGACCAGCAGTGACCCCCCTGCAGGCATCTCCTGAGCCCCCTGCTCCTCCTTAGGGCGCCCCGGAGAGCGTGATCGAGCGCTGCACCCACGTCCGCGTGGGCACGGCCCGGGTCCCGCTGACGGCCCCGGTGCGGGAGAAGATCCTGAGTCGGATCCGGGACTGGGGCATGGGCATCGACACGCTGCGCTGCCTGGCCCTGGCCACCCACGACTCCCCCGTCCGCAGGGAGACCATGCAGCTCCACGACTCCGCCGCCTTCGTCCACTACGAGGTAGGCAGTGCCCGGCCGGCACCAGGGGCTTTTCTCCTTATTCCCAAAGTTCTCCCACCCCCTTCCCACTGCCCCAGCAGCGTTTTCTCCCTTGGTTTCCCCAGTGGTGCCAGGTGGTGTGGTGGCTCAGCAATTTCTCTGCAAACCCCACTGCAGAGCTGTGTGCAGTGAGGCTGATCCCAAAGCCAACGATGCTGTCCCATCAGGGGTCCATCCATATGGGGTGGTTGCCGAGAGGGATCTGGGGACCTCCAGGAGGGATGGGAGCAGAGTAGAAACGTGTGAGGAGCACTGGAGGGGGTGGGAGCATGCCCTTGCATTGGGATCACGGGGTGCGTCCATTGACAGGACATGTCCCAAGGGTTTCCTCCCCTGAGAAGTCCCCAAGTGCCCTGGGATCGCTGTACCTGGGACAGTTTCATGGTGCAGAGGGACGTGGCTGCGTTCTCTCAGGGTTTAACGTGGTCTGTGCTGTCCCCCCCCCCAGACCAACCTGACCTTTCGTGGGCTGCGTGGGGATGCTGGACCCCCCCCGCAAGGAGGTCACCTCCTCCATCGAGATGTGCCGCAAGGCCGGCATCCGCGTCATCATGATCACCGGCGACAACAAGGGCACGGCGGTGGCCATCTGCCGCCGCATCGGCATCTTCTCAGAGAACGAGGACGTGGCCGGCAAGGCCTACACAGGCCGGGAGTTCGACGAGCTGTCCCCCGAGGCCCAGCGGCAGGCGTGCCGTGACGCCCGCTGCTTCGCCCGCGTGGAGCCAGCGCACAAGTCCCGCATCGTCGAGTACCTGCAGTCCTTCAACGAGATCACCGCCATGGTGAGTCCCCGGCCTCCTCCTCCCTGCCCGGCCCTTCCCCTCGCACCCCTTTAATTATGGCTCCGTGCAGACGGGCGACGGCGTCAACGATGCCCCAGCCCTGAAGAAAGCCGAGATCGGCATCGCCATGGGGTCCGGCACGGCCGTCGCCAAGTCGGCTGCTGAGATGGTGCTGTCGGACGACAACTTCTCCACCATCGTGTCGGCCGTGGAGGAGGGCAGGGCCATCTACAACAACATGAAGCAGTTCATCCGCTATCTCATCTCCTCCAACGTTGGCGAGGTCGTTTGGTGAGCACCGCGTCCCGGGGAGCAGCGGTGGGGACGTGGGTTTGGGCACCTGAGGTGGGTGTTTGTGTGTGGGGTGGTGGCAACAGGTGGCACCGATGCCCTCCTCACCAGGTCCTGTCCCTGTCCCTGCCGGCCATTCCCTGCCATCCCCTGCAGCGCGTTTGCAGCCCTGCAGAGGGCAGGGAGAGCTCGAGCATCTTTTGCCCTTGCATTTCATAGAAACATAGAACAGCCTGGGTTGGAAGGGACCTCAAAAATCCTCTAGTTCCAACCCCATGCCATAGGCAGGGATGCCACCCACCAGATCAGGTTGCCCAGGGCCTCGTCTAACCTGGCCTTGAGCACCTCCAGGGATGGGGCATCCCCAGGCTCTCTGGGCAGCCTGCTCCAGTGCCTCACCAACCTCTGAGTGTGTGTTGGGTGTGTTCGTGCTGGGAACGAGCTCAGTGGTTTCCTTCCAGCTGCAGAGCACGTTTTACCAGCAAAAATAATCATAGCTGCAAAACTCAGCCCAGGCTTGCAGGCTGCTGGCTTGGGGGCCACAAGTTCATCCGCAGAGCTTTGCTCGAATGTTCATTTGGACTCAGGTGTTCCTGCTTGCTCCCCCCTTACACCACACACTTTCTCTGGCTGCCCCCGGAGCTCGTCTAACTCAGCTTCTGGTGCTTTCCCCCCACAGCATCTTCCTGACGGCTATCTTGGGCCTGCCCGAGGCCCTCATCCCCGTGCAGCTGCTGTGGGTGAACCTGGTGACGGACGGGCTGCCGGCCACCGCGCTGGGCTTCAACCCCCCGGACCTGGACATCATGGACAAGCTGCCCCGCAACCCCAAGGAGCCCCTCATCAGCGGCTGGCTCTTTTTTCGCTACCTGGCCATCGGAGGTGAGCCCTGGTGGGCAGGGGGATGAGGCAGGGGGCGTGGGGGGCCGTGGTGGGGGCTGCAAGCTGAGGGATCTCTGTCTTGGCTGCAGTGTACGTGGGGCTGGCCACGGTGGGCGCAGCTACCTGGTGGTTCCTGTACGACGCCGAGGGGCCGCAGGTTTCCTTTCATCAGCTGGTGAGTCGGGGTCTGCCCCTGCCTCTGTCATCTGTGGTTGTGACGTTCCCACCTTCCTGATGGAAAAGGTGTTCAGGAAACAAATTCACCCCCTCGGGGCCTTGTTTCCAGCCTCAATTCTGGTAGCAACTAGCATGGGGGGGAGTTGATCCCAAGAAGCTGAAAGTGGTCCCAAACCCACGCTGAATGGGGTCAATTATTGCATTGCTGTCTCTGAATGCTGGGGAACCGTGTGCCACCTCACCCCAGTGTGGCATGCAGTGGAAAAGGATTTTTTGCTGGAGATCTGTTTATGCTCAAGCACCCTATTAACCACCCATGAAAATCTCTAAGCCACGATACAGAAGCTGAGGACATTTTTGTCAATTGTTCCGAGCTGTGGGATGTTTGGTGGCCCTGATAAGGTTCCCCAGCTGCCCCGAAGCACTTGCCTCCTTCCTCCCCTTCCCTGCCTTCCCCTACCACGAGCTTCTTACGAGCAGTTTCCTGTGCTGGCAGAGGAACTTCATGAGGTGCACCGAGGACAACCCCATCTTTGAAGGAGTTGACTGCGAAATCTTCGAGTCCCGATACCCGACCACGATGGCTCTGTCCGTGCTGGTGACGATCGAGATGTGCAACGCTCTGAACAGGTGGGGAGGCTACAGGATCGTCCTGCACACAACCCATTTCTTGTAGGGTCTCTCGGGGGATCTGTCAGTGGCCGAGGGCTTTGTTTTGGCTCAGCAGAGCCATTCTGCTGGGTGTCTGGATCCAAATGATGGCAAAGCCTGAAGCTGAACAGCCTGGAGCTGGGCTGTGTGGGCACCAGGAGGCTTTTTGCACTGACGCTGTCCCCTTGCTTTCGCAGTGTCTCCGAGAACCAGTCGCTGCTGCGGATGCCCCCATGGCTCAACATCTGGCTGCTGGGGGCCATCGTCATGTCCATGGCTCTGCACTTCTTCATCCTCTACGTCAAGCCCATGCCCGTGAGTGCCCTGTGCCAACTCTTTGTGCAGCCTGGGGGCTCCGCTTGTGGGCGAGGACATCTCCTGGGGCAACCTTGGGGTCTGGAGTGCCCTCAGGGCCAGGTCCTGTGACTCAAACCAGCACAGGGCCCGGGAGTCACCATGGCCCGACAAGTCAGACCCTCTCCTCAAGGCAAAGCCGTGTAGCTGCCTCCAGGCTCAGCCCCTTTTGGGGGCATCGTCTCCCTTTGCAGTCCAGTCATGATTAATTCCCAAGGGTGTGTGGCATCAAGAGGGTCACTGATCCCAGGAGCTGCTGTTCTCCCTCGTGCTGCTGCTGAGCACCTCCGTGACCATGTGCACCCAGTCCTAGCTTGTGCTTCACTTTTCCCATCGGAGGGAGAAGTGAGGGGCACCATTTTTGACCCTTCTTGGGATCATGACAAACCTTGAGGAAATCCCTCCTTGTACCTGGGACAAATTTTTTTCTCAATCTGTGTCATGCGATAGAAGCTCATCTTTTAAACAAAAGGAAATCCTGTCTCCTTCCCTATTAACACGTCAAATCCTTTTCTGCCTCGCAGCTCATCTTCCAGGTCACCCCCCTGAGCTGGCCGCAGTGGGTGGTGGTGCTGAAAATCTCCCTGCCTGTTATCCTGCTCGACGAAGGACTCAAGTACCTGTCCCGCAACCACCTGGACGGTGAGCAGGGGCTGCAGGGTGCTTGGCTGCTGGCTCCGTGGTGCTTTGCTTGGGCGGGCGATGGCCTGGTGGGCACCTCACCCGTGCCCCCTGCTGATGTGGTGTCTGTGCCTGCACGTCCCTGCGCCCCGCTTTCCCCGCTGCCAAAAAGGGCCTTTTCCTCCGACCCCCTTCCTCCCCAGCTGCCACGCCAGGCAGAGCAGTTGATGCTCAGGTCTGCTGGAAATGCTCCCCGGGAGCTGGAACAACAGATAAATCTGCCATGCGTGTTTATCCAGCTCCTCTTGAACCTCGGGGAACTGGATCCCTTCCTTTAAAGCAAAAGGAGTCCAATACTGGTTTCCAACAGGAATCCTTCCTTTTTTCCCCTTGATTTTTCCACTCTTCCGTGGCTGTCCCTGCCTTATGTTGCCACGTCTATTTTAAGACCAAATGGGAGCTGTGGCACTGTGCAAACTGGTTTTAATGGGACTGCCACTGGGGTCTGGCACAGGGCACGCACAATGGGAGCCCGTTTGCACCGGGGTAGTGGTTCCCACGCACCATAAATCACAGCATGTGTTTAGACAGCCTGCTGAGAGGATGATATCATCCTCTTCTTTCATTTCTTGCAAAAATTCTTGCAGAAGATGCTGCTGTGGGTCATTTCTGGGTTGAGCTAAACCTTCAGGGCCATGGGGCTGCTGAGCAGCGCTGTGCCTGCTACAGGGTGGCCTCTTGCTACGAAACCAGACTCTTTTTTTTCATTTTTAAAGGTGTTTTTTACAGTCCCCCACCTTTTCCTACCTGATAGGGTATAGCAGTGGGGAGAAAGGCAGGAAAACCCCATCCTTGCCTGTGGGGTGAGGGTAGTAGCCAGGGGAGAGATGAGCAACCTGGGCAGGGGCTGGAGGTCCTTCCACATCGTCACCTTGCTCCAAGGCTTTTTGCCACCCCTTAAGCAACCATCATCCTAGCAATCCCTTCCTTTTGCCTTCACCTTCTACCAGTGACCCGTGCAAACTGTCCAAAGCTGCTTTTGCATTTTGGGGCTAAAGGCAGGTGCAGTCAGCCCTGCCAGGGAGGGATCTGGGGCATTTTAGAGGATGGATGGGGAATGACTGCAGGCAGGAAAACACCGCGCCCCTGGGGGTGCCCACAGCAGCATCCTGCCAGGCTCTGCTGAGAGCTGGAGGTGCTCTTGCCTTTACCGACCAGATGGAAAGCGTTTCTGGGTTATTTTTACTCAATTGTTGCCCCTCTTGATGGGCTGCTAGATGCTTTGCACCAGCCAGGCATGTGTTGTCGTGTAGCAGCGATGACGGCGTGGCGCTGGGCTGGGACGTAGGAGAGCTGCTTCAGTTCTTGGCTGCCTCATCCCTGCATGCCCCTGGTCCTCGCTCCACCATCTGTGAGCCGGGGATGAGTGTTTCTTGCTCCCACACTTTGTGTTCCTTCATAACAACCCAGCGCTGTTGGAGGAAGGGCTTTGCATCGGCTCTGGCAGCCCAGCTCCGAGCGTAGCGGGGTGTCTGGAGGCGGTTTCTGGAGAAGGTGTGATCATTTTGAAGCCTGTCACAGCAGCCTGGAGTATTCCCTGCTTCTGTCCCCCCCGGGCCTTGCTCCTGCAGTGCTGGTTCCTCCGAGCACCCTGATCCCCTCGGTCACAGCATGTGCATGCTCGTGGTTCACTCTGTCTCATCCCACAAGGGTTTGGATGCAGCTACTCAGTCATGGCTACGGGGAAGAATCATGCTTAAATCATCACATTTGAAAGAAATCATTAAAATCTCACATCATCCTAGTTTCTCTGGGCAGATGCATTTTTTAATTATTTTTTTTAAAGCCACTTTTAAATGTGGTGTTGTGGTTTTTTTACCAGGCATTCTCAGGACGGTAAGAAACACGTGGAGCGGGGAGCACCAGTTGAAAACCTGCAGGACTCCAGAGCAAGGGTGGGCGTCCCCTGGGGTCTGATCCCCTGCCAAGCCTTGGTCGTGTCGGGGGGGACCCAGAGCACGTCTGGGTGAAGGTGGCGAGGAGTTTGGGCCAGTCTGAGCCCTGTGCAGGGCAGGGCTCGGGGACGGTCTCCAACCTGGGACCTCCTGCAGCTGCCAGCAGAGAGGCCAAAACCCGAGGGGTGGCCAAGGGCGGTCACTTGGCAGGTGCAAATATTTAGCTGTGGGTTCTGCTGATTCGGGTTTTGCATGGAAAAGTTTCTCCTTTGATCAGCCTGAGATAAGCAGCGTTTCCATTACGCTGGGTTTCCTCGTCCTTGGAGCTGCAGGAAGCTGAGGCTCGTGGCTTTCACCGTGGTCTCTGTGTTTTGTGTTCCTCTCCCCAGCCCCAGGTCGCTTCCATCTCGCAGGCAGGGCGCGGGGTCGCTGCCCACATCCACCTCTGGCCCTCGCAGGTTTCTGCTCCTGGCACCGGGACGTGGCACCCCCTCTTGCCCCAATGTTTTTGGTATTTGTTTCTTAAGCGTGTTGCTCTTTGTGAGCCCTGCGGTGTGCAGAAGGGAAGTTTCCAGCCATCTGTGCCTGGATCTTGCAGTAGTCTCTTGCCTGAGTGGGTTTCAGGAGGTACAAACTGCAGGCGCTGGCTCCAAGCCTGGAAGCACAGCCACGGCAGGGGCTCCTCTGTGCCATGATAAAAGCCGGGGCAGTCGAGAAGTGGGTGCTTCCCCTGGCAGCTGCCCGTGGCAGTGGTGCTGCTCCTGAAAACCCCAACGCCCCAGCAGTGCTTCTGGGGACAGTTCTGCCGAGGCAGCGAGGTGATGCCCTGCCCGAGGAGCACCTTGGCTATTTTTGTAGCACTTCTGTAGCTCTTTGGCTTTGCTCCTGGCTGATTTCTCAGGATTTGCAAGGTGGTGGCCGTGCCACTGGTGCCTGTCCCCTCCCCGGCAGTGACACCACGCTCCGCAGCCTCCTGCCACAGCAGCTGGGATTGCAGCTGTGTGAGTGTCCCCACCACCTCCACGGGAGATTTGGGCCCCTCGTATCTGCAAAGCCCGGGGCATCCTTGTGCTCTGAGTGCTCCGAGAGGAGGGCGCTTGGCAGAGGAGGCCGTGCTGTGAGCGTGCCGCTGTCCCTGCCACCCAGGCTCCGCATCCCAGCCTGAACCAGAGCCAGCCTAAAACCTGCAGGGACTGAAATCTCCGTGTCTGCTCACAAAAAAGCCACAGCAAGACCCCCCGTGGACCCACCCTGGGGACAGTCGCAGTCCCTAAAACTCCCTCAGGAGCCCAGGGGCTGCCCCAGCCCCATTTTCCCTGGAGCTGTCCCTGCTGCGGGAGCGCAGCGAGCGCCCCGAGCATCCCGGCGTGCCCTTGTAGGGTAGTGTGTGTGTGCACGGGATGTGCTGCACCTTTCAGTGTGTGAGTCTCTCTGGATGGGGTTTTACAGCTCTGTTGCCTTGCTTTGGTTTCTTTTCCCATTTTTTTTTGGCATGTGTGCACACACTTTAGAAACGGAAGAGCGGAGGGAAGCACGCGGTGCCGCTGCCCCGGCATTGCAAAAGGGGATGGGGGACGGGGGGGTTCCCTTTCTCCTGGGGTCTCTGCTGTGGGTTTCCCCACTGCAGCAGGGTCTGTGAGATTTTTAGAGCCCTACGGCTGCAGCAGTTCCCTGGGTGGAGGGAGGGATTGGTGCTGGGCTGCATCCCTCCAGCATCACCCCTTCCAGTAGCACACTAAAACTAAAGCCAAAAACGAGGGGACGATCCCAGAGCCTCGCCTGGTGCAGAGCAGATCTCGGAGGAGCCGGGCTGCCGGAGGCTGGATGCAGATTTGCAGGAGTTTAAGGACGTGGGGGTGAGAGGCAGGATCCAGAGGGGTGTGAGCACATTGTGACCACCCCATGTGAGTGGTCCTGAGCCCCCACAGCGTGTCCCTGGGGCAGAGCCCACAGCGAGGGACGGGGTCCCGCTGACCCTGTGCAGGTGCCAGACCCATTCCTGGCTTCAGTTCTTACAGAAACGCTGCGTGCTGGCTCTGTTGCTTGCAGGAACATTTCCCAGAGCATCCGCCGAGGTTTGGGGGCCCGAGGCTGTGGTTAAACGGTCGCTGCTGGCACCGCAGCTGGGTCCCCTTCCTGTCCCCATCCCTGCCCCGCGCCTGCCTCCTTGCACACCCTGTGCTGTGACATAAAGCATGTGGGGGAAGCCATGTGGCTGGCAAGCTACCCGGCTGCCTGAAATGCCCCTGCAGCTCGGAGCAGAGGGCTTGGAGGTTTTGCAATGAAGTTTTAGCACAAGCCCTGGGCTCCAGCAGCATCCCCGGCGTGCTCCACACAGTGCTGGGTCAACCCAGGGGATGCTGCTGGTGGGATCCGTGTCTTCTCGGGCAGGAATCCTGCAGCCAGCTCTGGGAAGGTATTCTGGCAGAAGTTGGGGAAAAGTTTATTTTCTGTTGTTCTGTTTTTTCCTTCTTTCTCCACTGTTATTTATTCACTTCCCTGGCCGTAAGCTCAGGCAGCACCTGTGTTGGCAAGGGCACAGTGGCAGCAGCCCACCAGAGATAGGATCAGTGATACAGGGGTGAGAGATACAGGGATACAGCCCAAAGATTTATAGGCAGGGATTGTATAATTCTTCTCAGGAAGTGCTGTCTTTAAAAAATAAATAAAGAAATAAGAAAAAGGAAATAAATGCAAGTAGCTCTGCTGCACAGACTTTGCAGCTGGTTTTCTCCCACCTCCATAATCTGCTCTTGGCTGCTTGAAAATCAGGGATCAGGTGGGTGTGAGTTGAGGTCTGCAGCCTGCTCCCACGAGCTCAGGCTGAAGAAGGGCAGCCCTGGGGCTGTGGCAGTCCCAAGCTTTGGGTTTGCTCCTTTGCTTTCTGCTAAGTGTTCACGGACTGGAGCCGTCTCACCTGCTGGCCGTGCCTCAGTTTCCCAAGCAGGAAAATGGATTGATTTAGCATCACAGAGCTGCAGCCTGCAAAACCCCAAGAAGTGCTATGGGTAGCTCGGTCCTTGCTCATTGTCCCGGAGCTGTACGTGGGTGTAAATGCTCAGTGCGTGTGCCTATCTGCCTGAGCAGCACCCATCCGTCCATCGGGACGAGCAGTGGGACGCAGCGGGGGAGGCAGAGCAGAGCCTCCTGCTCTGCTTTCCCTGGGGGCAAGACCGAGGGATCCTGTCCATCCCATCCCGTCCCATCCCGTTCCCAGCTGCCTGCCTCTGGCTCGTCCTTTTTCCCTATGCTGAGCCCTTCCTCCCCCAGGGACCATCCTCCTCCTCCTCACCCAGCCCGAGCAGGAAGGACCCTCTCCTGATGCCAGAAGCGGGGAGCTGCTCTGCTTCCAGCCCCCCGCCAATACTTTGTTTTCTCATTTTCCTTCATTTTAGGAGAAGAGGACAAGAAGTGAACGACACGAAGGAGGCACTCCTAGCTAAAGGACCCCTAACTTGTAACTCGGACTGAAGTCTTGCATGCGTGACCATCGCTAGAAGCCAGCAGGACATGCATGTGTCCGACTACCAGACAAAAGCGGGTGAATCGTCGAAAAGAAAAATACCGATTTTTTGTTTTGTTTTGTTTTGTTTCGTAGCTTTCTTTTTCCTGTACATAACAGTGCAATTACTGGACATCTGGCGTAGGGTTTGGGGATGGAGCTGTACACGGGCCACAGGGTCATCGCAACGCTCTTCCTTGGGGATTTCTTCCTGCAGAATTGGAGACCCCCTTTTTTCAAATCTTTGCCCTGGTGGAGCGAGCTTGGTCAAGGTGTCCTTCACGGGGGGTCGCCAGGGTGCCGTGGGGTCCGGCTGGAGGGACGGGTGGGGGGGCACACGGTGGTGGCCTGAAGGTAGCCGCGAGGCCAGGTGCCGGTGGCCTTGAGGCTACTCACAGCCACGTGTTCGGTGGAGGCTGGAGGGCTCCCTGGTGTGATCCCCGTGCCGTGCAAAGCCCTGCTCCTTCTCAGGTTCATCCCACACCAAAGCGAGGTGGTGGCTTGCCCGTCCTCTGCCCGATGCCCCCTGAGGTCCCTCCTGTAGTGGCTAAATCACAGCCAGGCTCGCGCAAAGGTGCCCGCTCCAGGCACAGGGGATGAGCCCCGTGGCCTTCCTCATATCTGCCCCTCGCTCCTTCACTCGGTTGATTTTCAGCTATTTTCCTGGCAGGAGTAGTGTGTAGAGTGTAAGATCTTCGGGGGACAGCACAGCCCTGACAGCAGTGAGCTGCCCCCAAGCCAGCAGTGCCCCCAAGCACCCCCAAGGCCCCCCATGGTCCTCCTCCGGGAGCGGTGTTCTCGTGGCATCCCTTTTGTAGGGCACCAGCAGCAGAGTTTCCTGGGATTTTGCTGCTGGGATTTTGCTGCTGGGGGCCAGGAGGGCACCCAGGGGGGAAGCCACTGGGGGTGGTTTCTTCTCCAGCCCCCGAGGGCTCCCTCCTGCCGTCCTCACTTCTCCCCACGACCCCTCCTGACGGTGTCGGGCCAGCCGGCCTCCTGCCTGAGCTTCCTCTTAAATCCCAGCTTGGAGGATGCGGCAGCACTAGAGCCAGGTTTCGGGATAGCATTTTGCTCTTTGCTCTTGGGGTTTTTATTTTACTTTTTTTTTTTTTTTGCCTCTTAAAAGCTTCCAGCGCTTTTCTTGTTCCTCTTTCACGTGGGCAAGAGTGCATCGTTCTCTGGACAGTACGTGCCAAAAGTCATCCTTCCTTTCTTTTCTCCATCACCAGCATTGACGAAGATGAGCAGAGCCCCCAGACCAATGGGAATGTACAGAATTGTTATACTACTGAGCTGATCTACTTGTACAGAAAACCTTGCATGAAATGTTGTTACTGTATTTAATATATAATGTATTCAAGAAATTTTAATATGGAGCTCTTTAAAAAAGGTCTTTATAGTTACTCTGTGGTTAGAAGAAGGTTGTTGCTGATTTTTTAAAAATATTATTATACTTTGTCTTGAAGAAGTTTTATTTTTCAAACATACGATGTCTAATTGAGTTCATTGGTGATCCCATGGGGGCAACCAATTCCTTTTTAAAGGCGATTTTCCCATGAACGAGACTCAGCCTGGCACAGGGGCGCGGGGCATGCCCCAGGTACTGCCTAAACCTTCAAAACAAGGCTTTAGTAAGTAAATGTGGATTTTCCCTTCCCCAAATGGGTGGATTTCACCTTGGTTTGGTACAGATCACCTCCAGTCCCTCTGTTCAGGGAAATAACCAGCAGGAATTTCACCCAGGACCCAACTGGTACCGGCTCAGGGAGTTCAGAAGAGGTTTGTTTTTGTGTTTCCCTGGGGCTGGAAATTAATTTGGGAGAGGCTGGATCCAATTTAGAGCACCCCAGCCCCGTCCATTTGCTCCCAGTGGGGCTTTCAGCTGCCCGCTGGCCTCTCCCTGGGACGTGTCTGCGGGGGTTTCTGCCTCAGGCTCTCTCGGGAGCTCTGGTTCAGGTCAGAGAGATGAAATGGTGAAATTTTAACTCGTTGTTAAACTCCTGTAGGTGGTTTTCATCTGGTCTCCTCTGACACCAGAGAGAGGGGGGTGATTGGAGCAGACATCCCCGAACCCATTAGCAGAAAGGCAATGGGAAGAGAGGTCGTGTTTGGGTTATTTTACTGTTAGCAGAGCAGCCAGCCTTGGGTTATTTTAGCATCACTGGCTGTGCCACAAGGTACCAAACCCCAACCATCACGGGTGAGAAAGCAGAGCTGTGGCCCAGGCAAGGCTTCTCCCAGCAGTAGCAAACTGCGTTTGCTTTTTCCTCGTAAACCTCTAAATCCATCTGAAAATCAGGTGGTGGAGCAGGCATCCCGCTTCCCTTCCCCCCAGCTGAACCACATCTCTCTCTTCCCCCACCCTTTAATTGCTCATCCCCTGGGGCCAGCTTCCACCCCATGGTAAGAGGCTCAGGGGTCAGCTGTGGTGATAAATACCCACAGACCTGCTCACATCTCCTTTCTGCTTGGGGAAGGAGCAGGACCAGCAGCAGAGCAGTGCTTCCTTCTGCTGCTAGGTGCAGCAAGCAGCCGAGGGCAGGCAGGGGATGAATTCTCAGCGTGGCTGGAGGAGCTGGTGGTGCTGGCAGGGGGTGCAGCAGGAAGGGAAAAAGCATCAGCGAGAGGCTCAGCACCTTGCATCTTCTGCTCAGGGTCTGGATACCGACCCTGTGTGATTTCGGAGCTCCTCGGTGGGTGCACGAGCCCGATGCCGGGTGGCGGTGGCCCTGCTGGTGGGAGGTGGTGCTGAGTTTAGCCCCCTTAGCATCACATCGCTCCTGGTGCTCCAGCACAGCCGTTCCCAGCACCACCTCTGGGTGTTACTGTGGTTTTTGGTCCTGGCGTGGCCACTGTCCTTTATCTGAGGTGCCGGAGGGTTGGATGTCCCTGCTCGGTCCCACCTGGGATTTTTTTTTCTTTCCCCCCGTGCAGTGGCACTTTGTGTTGGGGTGTGTGGGATGATGGAGCAGGGCTTCACCCCGTGCAGAGCTCACAGGGGGCTTTTTGGGTTAGTGTCTGCAGCGAGGAAGGGGATGCAGGGGGTCAGCTGTGCTCCCTGGACCTGCCTCTTGGTGCCACTCAGCTTTTGGTAGGAGCAGGGCGTTAAATGAGCTAAAATCTGCACGGACCAGCAGTGATGGGGGCTCAGGTCCCGCGGGCTCCTGTCCCAGCCTGTGGGCACTGCTGGGTCCGTGCGGGCACGTGGGGCCCAGGGGAGGCAACAGCAAGCCCTCGCTGGGTGGCTTCGGGCTGGGAACGTGCCTCTGGGTTGGTTATGGGCTGCCTGAACAGCGCGGCTGTAGAAAAATGAGCTCGTGCTTCATAGCAAAAGGTAAAGCATTCGATCTGGGGTGGGAGGGAGGAGGGGATAGAACTGAGAAAAACGAGGTTTCCTATTTTGTTATACGAGAGAGATTTTTCCACTAAATTTCCCCTTCCCAAGCCGTGCCCCGTGGCCAGCCAGGTGTGCCGGGAGGCCGCGGTCAGGCTCGCCGCAGCCACACACACCGGCCCCTCTGTCCGTACAATATTGGGCTGATGTGTTTTATACTTCGGAAATACCAGAAATAAAAGCGATTTTACCGGACGACTCTGGGTTTCCTGTTGTTGTTTGCTGTTTGGTTGGTGCTTGGTGGTGCTGCTGTTTCCCCCCCTGCCCGCTCGTGGCAGATTTGGGGGGCGGCCGGGAGCCCGCGGAGCTGCGCGCGGTGCCTGAGGGCATTCTTCAGCCCTAAAAGGAGCTGTGCTCACCAGATCGGGATTTCTTGTGGGTTTTCAGAGCAGCCAAACTAGAAATGGAGCTGAGCTTGTCTCTGGCATCGGACGACAAAGGCGAGATGGAAGGAGTGGCATGATACGACTGTGGGGAATGTTTAAAGTACCAGCTAATCGTTCGTGGGGCACAAGAATACAAATAACAGTGCTAATTTTGACTGCATCCAGAATAGTCCTCACCTTAGCTTCCCCCCGGCTGCGTAGGTTTGAATAAGCCCTGCCATCATCTCCGAAAGAAATAATTAATAAGGAAAGGATAATTAAAGCGATCGGCCTCCTCTGGGGAGCGGAACAGGACGCTCGGGGCCATGTGTTTCCATCTCCAGATCACCCACGGCTCTCCCCGTGGTCGTGTTTTGAATGGAAACTCCTGCCACAGCCGGGGTCGTGCTTCGGAGCAAATCCGGGCTCATGCTGGCATCCGTCCCCATGCATTTTTGGGGGATTGTGGCCCCGTGTGCCCCTTCCAAAGGCTGCAAGCAGGAGAAAGGTGCCGCGGTGCTGATGGGGTCCCAAGACGTGGAGCACCATGAAGGCTGGATTTTGGAAGAGGACCTTGGTTGGCATCATCCCCCCAGACGTGCAGTCCCCAGCCCAGCACAGACCAGCACCACCACGGCTGTGCTGGGTGTAGCCCTCGTGCCGCCTGCTCCTGAGGCTGCGGCATCCCCTCGGCGCACACCGGTGAGCACAAAATCCCCCAAATCCCCCTCTTTGCATTGAACCCATCCCTGGACCTTTCACCAATGGGGTCGTGCATGTCCCTGGAGGTGAGTCCCAAAACAGGTTTTACCCCCAAAATAACCCCATGGCTCTCCGTACCCCATGTGGCTGAGCGTGCGCCCATGGCTACGATGGGAAGGGGTGCGCCAAACCCGCTGGTACCCGCAGCATCCCAGCATCATCCGATTTCCTTGGAGCTGCCAAACCCACGGCCAGGGATGCGGGTTGTCACGGCAACCGGGGATGCAAACGCCGCTGCCGCGGGCTGAGCACCACCGAAAACATCCGTCCGCACCGGGGCGTCACTGGGGCGGGCGCGGAGAGGAGCCAACGCTGCTGGGAAGGAGCGAAGGGAGGTCAAGGACAAGTTAAAATTGGAAAGAAAGCTGAACATGCCGTTTCGTAGCCCTCGCTCGCTCACATCTGCCAGTTTTTGGTTTTTCTTTCCCCGCCCTCCCCATCGACGGCGGGGCGGTGGGAGCATCTCCTCCAGCTGGCAGGGGCAAAGGGGGCCGCGGCAGCCAAAATCGCTGGGAACGGCCTCCAGCGCGCGGGGGCTCTTCCCGGTGACCTGGCCAACGCAGGTCCCCTTTGCACCCACCACCATATTTTACATCTACTTGCCACCGTGTTTCTCTCCCCCTTCCCCCCCGGCCCCCAGATTTGCAGCGTGCTGTGCATTTTTTGTGCTGAAATTCGGAGCTCCGTGCTGGAAGCTGCCAAGCGTGAGTCTGGATTGTGTAATGAGCTTCATCTATTATTATTCCCCCCTCTCCACTCCAACCCCCCCCCCATGATTTTTTTTTTTTTTTTTTTTCAAAAAGCAGCGCCTGAGAGCCTGGAAAGCCCTGGGAGCTCTGACCCTGGCTTTGCTTTTCGGGGTGTGGGTGGGCTCGTGCCCCGCACAGAGGCTTTCAGACCCCCCCCTTTGTGCCCTGGTGGCTCTCCATCCCCTGCACCAGGGTCCCAGCTTGAAGTGAGGGTGCCCTCACATTTCCAAATGTCTGTTAAAAATTTAAAAATACCTTTTTTTTTTTTAATTATTATTTCATTTTGTATTTTTCTCTAGGCAGCCCCAACAGAGGCAGAGTTTAAGGAATAGGGACGGAGGAGCAGCATGGCCAGCAATGCCCTCAGGTCAGCCTCCAGCCCTCGATGCCCCCAGCTCTGGCCCAGGGGAGCTGCTGGGGGCACTGGATGTGGCCGAGCACGGTGCTGGGGCTGGGCAGCACCAACCACGGGCAGCGTTCAGGCCTGGTGCTGGGTGCTGATGTAGGGTCACCGAGGCTGCATGCGTTTCTGCTGTGTGCACTTCACCTCCCGAAGCGCAGCTCACCCTCCTCAATACCTGGCTGTGCCATCTGCCCCCACGGTGTCCCTCTCCTGCCCTGCTTGGTCCCAATTTTGGGTGCTGCCAGCACGAAGCCCAGCTTGGTGCAGAAGGAAGTGGCCGGGCACTGCAGAAGCTGCAGAGCCACCCGAGGTCCCCACAACCCCCGGGCTGCACCTTACCCACAAAGCACCATTTCCACTGATTTATTCTTGTAAATCTTTTGCTAACCCTCGCAGTAAGATATTAGCCACAGGAGAGGAGACAAAAGTCCTCCCCCGGCATGGGGACACCCCAGCACCTGCACAGCACCACGGTCCCGTGAACTCAGCATCTTTCTGCAGGTGAGTGCCTTCCCTGGGCGGGTAGGTCCCACACCATCACCATTTAATTTATGGACAGGGCACACCACTTCCCTGTGGTCAGCACCTTGCAAACAGGGCGTTGATAAGAGATCACGGCATTAGCATGGGGGGAAACGTCACTGCAAATAGGGGAAGGATGGCACCGGGGCCTGCCGGCCAGCTGGCACCGCCTGTGCCACGTCGCAATGCCAGCCCCCGGCCATTAAACCCCTGCTGTAAAGCAATTTAGTGAGCATTAAACCCAGGGAGGGAGCAGCCGGGGGCGAAGGTGTGCGCGGTGGTGACGTGAGCTGGGCGCAGCAGGATGAGGTTTCGGAGCTGGTTTGCAAATGTTGGGGTTTCACGGGCGGGTGATGCCCAGCGCCGGCACCGCCACGGGGTCTGCGCCACGGCTCCAGGAGGGACTAAACTGGGAGATGCCCGTTGTCCCCCGATGGAAACTATTTTAGCTAAATCCATGCTCTAACCATTTTATTGACTCCAACTACCAGAGGAAGGTTAGAAGTGACTCTTTTACAAGTCATTTTGCTGTTAAATTTAGCTGTCCTATTTTCATTATCCCCATGGCCTTGGCAAGGGTGAGCAGCCTTCCCTAAAAGGCCTCGTTTCATACAGTAAGTTATTTGCTGCTCTCCTGACAGATATCTAAGCTTATAAGGTTTGTCTGCTCCGCTCAATAGCAGGATCAGCCTTCAATCTGCCACGATTAGCATCAGCCTTTGCTTTTGGCTGCCCATCTGACAGCTTCCCGCGTAGCCCCGCGGTGGGGAGCTGGGATGGGGCCGTGCCACTGGAAACGTGGGAGCGCAGGAATTGGAGACCCGAGCTCCTTGGGGTGCCCAGAGGCCGCGGATAATGGCTGGCCTGCCTCCCCACCACGCTCCCCATGGCCCAGCACTGCAAGGGATTCGTTCTGCTGCTTTCACGCTGGTCGGGGCTGTGCCGATGGGGCGACGCCGTGCCAAGGGCCCTGGGCTGTGACAGGTGGTGTCAGCAGACGTGGTCTGGATTTTGGGGAGAGCATCCCCCGTTCCGCCCAGCCGGTCCCAGTGCTCCCCAACAAAGGAATCCCCCACCAGTGCCCCGTCCCCAGGGGTCCCGTACCCACAAGCTCTGTGCTTTGCCCAGCGCTGAGCCCAAACCTCACTGCGGCGATGTCAGGCCCCAAATTTCAGCCTGGCACACTCAGCTCCAGCCCTGTTCTGTGCTGGCCACGTACCACGGTGCTGCAGCATCCATCCCTCGCTGTAGGGTGTGCCCGCCAGCCCCGCTCCCAGGGGCCTTTCAGGAAATGCTGGAAATGCTGAAAATGCTTCAAAATGTGCCTGGATCAGCCCCTGGGCGAGCGCTGGGAAGCAGCCAAGCCCCAGCAGGGCGACCTCGTTGTGGGAGGGGGCCAAGCCAGGGGTCTGGCTGCCCCGTGGTCTTGGCTCCCCAGTTCTGGGGTTCAGTGCCCCCACTTGGGGGTCCGGGTGGGGTCTGGGGGGGATGAAGCAGGACATGGGTTAGGGACAAGGATGGGAGATGCGCAACCCCAAAAATCAAGGGGGCAGAAAGGTGATGCCCTGATCGCACTGCCTAAAATCCTCCCCTGGACCCCTGTGTCCTTGCCCAGACCCCCTCTGCTCCCTGCTCCCTCCCTGTCCCCAGGGAGGGCCCCTGCACCCTCCCGCACCCGTCCCACCCCCGCTCCATGTAGGGCACCGCTGCACCCAGCCCAGCGCTTATAGGAACAGGAAACCCCGTCCCCACGCAGAGGAGGAAGCCCGACAGCCCGGCCGAGCACGGAGCAGCACCGATAGCATTTTTATTATTATTTATATTTATTTATTTTATCTCTCTGCAAACAGAGGAGCGACGGCAGGCACGGCCCAACCCGCGCCGCGGCGAGCAGCGGGGCCGGTGGTGGCACAGCCCCAGTGCAGCCATGGGGCAGAAATGCATGGAGAAGGTGTCCTCCTTCCTCTTCGAGTACGACACCCCTCGGATGGTGCTGGTGAGGAACAAGAAGGTGGGACTGACCTTCCGGCTGATCCAGCTCATCGTCCTGGCGTACATCATCGGGTAAGGCTCGCCGGGGCACGCTTTCCCAAATTAGCGCTTGGCCGCCACATTAGAAAGGAACGGGGAGGAAGGGGCTCCTGTCTCCCCTGTATCTCAACACGAGGGGGTTTTGCCGATGGTATCGCATCCCCTGTCTGTGGGAACCCCATCCTGTGTCCCGCTGTGGGGCTAAGCCCTGTGTCTTCCCCATCCCGGCTGCTCGGAGGCACGAGCCCTGCCCAGCCCCAGCGCTCGCTGAGCCGCCTCCAGCTGCTGCTCCAGCTGCTGGCCAGCAGCCTGAGAATCTGTTGTTATTTTTATTTTTCTTTATATGAAATAAGAGGCAGCTGGGGCCAGCACGGTGATTTGTGAGACCCAGGCGGCTGCAGACAGGGCCATAAATTTCCCTGTCCCCTCCCCGGCTGCCGTGGGGCCGGGACACGGCCGCGCTCCAAAGCCCTGTTTTGCTTTGCTTGTACGAGGCAGCCCCAAGAGCAGCTCAAAAAAAGGGCAGCGAGCTGGGCAGGAGGGCTGGAGCTGCACGAGGGCATGTGTCCTCAGGTGCCCTGGGGCTCACAGGGCTGCTCAGAGCTGACTTTAGCCCTTGGGATCCTTCTTGTAGCGGGAGAAGGCACTGGGGATGTGGTAGTGAGAGGTGGTGGGGCACAGGGTGCCGCGTTATGGGGCTGGGAATGATGCAGAAATCGTCACTGTGCCCAACTGGGCTGGAGAGCAGCACCTGGTGGCCAGGAAGGACCCATGGTAGGAGGTTTGCACAGAGAAGGGGTGCCCGGCTGCTGCGGGTAGAGCAGAGCAAGAACTGGGGGAAAAAATGGGTATTTGGGGAGCACAGGGTGGCTGGCACAGCACAGCAGAGACGTGGTCGCACCTGGGGCTCCGAGCGAGCCCCTGGCAGCTGTGGGGGCAATCCCAGCTTCACCCCATCTCCTCTAGAAGGGGGGACAAGCATCCCAGGGGCTGCACCATGGCGCTGGGACCCCACATCGCCCCTGCCCTGCTCACCAGGGCGCTCTCAGCCCAAACCGCTCCTGCGAAGGGGGAACAGGCAGGGGCAGTTGCTTGCAGCAGGATTTCCGAGGGAACCGTGGCTTAAGTAACCCGGCTAAAACGGGCCAGGCAGCAAGGAGACATCAGCAGAAAAACCTGAAGGGGTGATGAGCAGGGGCAGAGGAGGAGGTGTTGCCATAACTCTGATATTTTTGCTGCCTTGGTGGGGTCGGGATGTCCTGCTGGACCCCGGCTGCTTGCATGTCACTGCTGCCTGCCCCGAGCCGTACTCTTTGAGATTAGCTCTTCCTCGAAAGCAAGCTCAGCAGGCAGATATTGATTTATTTGCAGTTATCTCAGCTCCGTGCCCCTGGCAGGAGGCACAGGATGCATGACCATGTGGTGGCAGCGGGGACATGAGCGCGGAGGAAGGAGCGGCCCCTCGCTGCAGACAGCGCTGCGATAAGGCGCTATCGCTGCCAGCCCGGCGGGCTGCGCCTTGTGGCTTTGGCTTCCTGAAATGTTTGCATGCAAGGAGGCTGAGATGATGGCAGGATGGGGCAGGAGGCTGGGTGACACCACCGGGGGATTTCTGTCCCCTCGGTGGGGCGCAAGGAGGTGCCGGCAGCATGGGGAGATGCTGCCCTGCTGCCGGGGCTCGGCGGCTGGGATGGGGCCGCACCCTGTCCTCCCAGTATAACCCAGTACAGGTTTAAGGTGGAAAAAGGCGAGTTCTGCAGCAGTGCCCCAGTTTCTGCCCTCAGCCCAGGGTGCTATTCCCTTGGCTCGGGACACCCATGGGGCTGCAGACCCCAAAGCACCGTCCCCGAAAGGTCCGGCAGCTGCAGGGCAGAGCTCCAGGCAGGGACAAAGAGCAGAGCGCTCCTTTTTTAGTGCTGGGAGCGCTACCCGACATGGTCACTCAGCCGTGTTTATAGGCTCCCCGAGTCAGACTTCATCCAGCGGCAGCTTCTTTATGCCCTGGGTTAAAAAGTGCCAGGAGCTGGCCCCAGCGAGCCGGGTGATGTGGCATGAGGGATGATGCCCACAGCCCCTGGCACCGCAGCTCCCTGGGCTGGATGGGGAAATGGTGGCCCTGGAGGGGCCCTTGGCTTACCCATGTCCCAGCCCCAGAGGCAGCAATTTGGGGAGAATATTAGTGCAGGGGATCAGAAGGGACTAGGTGGGCTGCTGAGTCCAGCAAGGCTTCAATCCTAAATGCCCTCCAGACCCGGCTCTACCTGCCTTCGCCTGCCCTCAGCCACAAAATGCATCCCAAACCCCCAAATAATTGAGCCTGCAGTGAGGGCAGGTCCTGCAGCTCCCACACACCGTGAGCATGGAGTGGGAGAGTTCAGCAACACGTCCCCAGGCCCTCTAGCAAGAGGAAATTTGGGAGGTAATTGCAGCTGCCCTGGCGCACAGGGAAGCGCTCGCTGCATCTGCCCTGTCCCACCCCGTCCCGTCCTGTCCCCGCTGCGCTCACCCCTCACCTTCCTCCCCCAGGTGGGTTTTCCTCTACGAGAAGGGCTACCAGTCGCAGGACAGCATCGTCAGCTCGGTGTCGGTGAAGCTCAAAGGCATAACGCTGACCAACGAGAGCGTCCTGGGCCCGCACATCTGGGACGTGGTGGATTACGTTTTCCCACCGCAGGTAAGGAGGCAGGAGGGGCTGGGGGGGCTGCTCCCACCCCGACCCCATACAGCAGGGCCTGGTGGGGTCCTCGGTGCCAGCTTTCCATGGGGCCACCCATGGCACAGCTTCTCCCCGGTGGAGAGCAGGGGGCTCCTGCCACAAACCTTTCCCCATGTCATCCCCGGGGAGTGCCCGATGCTTGGGACCCCCCCCTGGTTGGTGGGGCACATTTGATGCTGCCCCCACAAGGCTGAAGGCTCCTCCGGTGCCTCCAGATGTGGGCAGCAAGAGGGGACTGGTGACACCATGGCTTCCAAGGCCACCACCAGCTTCCCAAGGTGGGACCCAAGGACACAAATTCAGGGTAGAAAGGAGCCACCCACCCAGCCATGTTCTGGTGGTTTTGGGGTCCCACGGGGAAGGGGCTCTTCTGCTCCCCAAAAACGCCGTGCTGGCTGTCAGCTCCTTGGCTGTGTCTCCACAGGGGGACAACTCTTTCGTGGTGATGACCAACTTCATTATCACCCCTGGACAGAAACAAGGAACCTGCCCGGAGGTAAGAGCCCTGGCTCCCTTCAGCAGTCACGGTGTCTGTAACTCGGGGGGCTGAGGTGGTGGCACCGATGGAGCAATTCTCCTGAGAGCGAGAAGTTTAGTAAAAGCGTGAGCCTTAAAGCTTAAAAAAGAAACCCCTCACCCTTTTCCCTGCCGAATTCGGATGCCCATGGCTGGAAGCGGTGTATGGAGGAGGCTGTTGCCCCATGGGGGGACAGACAGAAGCCCTGGGGGGTGCTGGTGGGACACAGAGCTGAGCGGCTTTCCCCAAACAGCTGCCGGATGCCGGGAGTTGCACGAGGGACAGCAACTGCAGCAAGGGGACCTACAGCCGCGAGGGACAAGGTACGGTAGCAAAAGAGGGTCCTACCTGGGCTGGCCCTGCTCTCCTCTTCCAAATGATGTCTGAGCTGAAAAAAAACCACCTTGATTACCCTTTAATCAGGAAGGAAATTAAACACTTCCCCCAGACTTACAGCTTTCTAACAGCTAATTGGCCACAGTTAATTACCCTTCTAATAAAGGGGCACTGTTTGGTGCTTTGGATGGCCGTGGCAGGGCTGGAACCCCATCCAGGTCCCCCAGATCCCGGTGTTGAGCTGGGTTTTCCCAGGACCCAGGGATGCGAGCAGCTCTCTCTGCTCCGCAGGGCTCAGGACGGGCAGGTGTGTGAATTTCAACAGCTCAGTGAAGACCTGCGAGATCTTTGGCTGGTGCCCTGTTGAAGTTGACTACCACGTTCCCAAGTAAGCAGAGATGCTGTCACCCCATTTTTCACCTGGCTGGGACCAGAAGCAGTCGGTGTAGGGCAGAGCAAGCCTGGACTCTGCAGGTTGCTGCCAGGACAGCCCGGGTTGGTGCAGACCCTGTGGCTTTAGATGCTGCCTGGTGTCCCCAGGGGGTTGTGTCCCTCCCGGCCTGGTTTGCTCCTGGTGGCTCTCCCCTTCTCTGCTGGGTTCTCCACGTGTGTCCCAGCCACCCTCAGAGCAGCCGTTCTCTGCCCACGAGCTGTTCTCCATTTCCAGCCTCCATGGACGGCTGTGAAGCACCTCTTGGCATATGCCAAGTCCTTTCCTCCTTGCCATGGACACGTGCCACCGCTTGTTTTTCAGCCCTGCCCTCCTGTCAGAAGCGGAGAAGTTCACCTTGTTCATCAAGAACAGCATCACCTTCCCCAGGTTCAAGGTGTCCAGGTACGGGGAGCGCTGGGGGGAGGACTTCTGCTTGGCCATGGCCTGGAGGGGAAATCGGGGGCAGAGCTGGGTGCACAATATGGGTCTGTCATCCCTCACCAGCGAGCCCAGCACTGGCCCAGCTGCTGCCCCCTCCACCACCAGCTGAGTGTGCTAAGATTTATGACACCGCCAGTCCCATAGCTGATTTGGGGCAAATTAGGAGCAGCTATTTGTGCTGAGCATGGTGGATTCCTTGCTAATCCAGTCGCATCACCGCTCTGCAGCCGAGGTTAAACGCCCCAGCATGTGTGGGGCTGCCCCACAAGGGGTGGTGGGACCCTCACCGGCAGCGGGGCGAGGTGGTGACGGGGGCTGCAGGGGGGACATGGCGGGGGACAGCAGGGCCTGGGAGGAGAGGGTGGCCAGAGCCAGCTGGGGTCAGGGGGGATTTCCTGCCTTTGATCGCTGCTGTTAATGAACTGCCGAGCAGAAGGGCTGGGATGGGACTGACCAGGGCACGGGGTTTGCAAAACCATCAGGGGCAGGGAGGCTTCGGGGAAAGGCTATTTTTAGGAGAAAGGGCAGAGCCGGGTGGCAGGCCAGACGTCATCTGTCCCTTTTCACCCTTTTCACCCTTTCTGGGGGAGATGGCAAAAAAAAAAAAAAAAAAGGCTGAGTGTGGGTGCTGTGGGATGCACTGTTGGTGATTTGTCCCAGATGGAAACTGTGCTGAGAGCATTGCTCGTGGAGGAGAGGCGGCTGGGAGGGGTGGTGGAGGCCGCGGGAGGGCTGGGGGACGAAGCAGGGGCTGCAAAAAGAAGTGAGGGTGGTGGATCTGTGCTGAAACGTGGGGAGGGGCTGCAGGCAGAGCAGTGAACCCAAAGCTGACGTGGAGACACCTGTGGGAGAGCAAACAGCAGGGAGGCCTCCTCCACACAGGGAGCTTCAGGAGGAACAGGGCCCTGGGGTGGGGGAAGCAGGAGGAGAGGGTCTGTGCTCCGTGTGGGATGGAGGACGAGGCCTTGTGCAGCCTGACCCAGCTCGGAAGTGTCCCAGCTTTGGGCAAGGCGTTGGAGCGGGGTCGCACACAGCTCCTTCCCCACCCAAACTGTTCGGCTCTTCAGGGCCTTTCCCGCTCCGCTTTCATGCGCAGGCGCAACTTGGTGGAGAGCGTCACCAAGGATTACCTGAAGAAGTGCACGTACCACAAAGTCACCGACTCCCTGTGCCCCGTGTTTGGCCTGGGCTACGTGGTGAAGGAATCGGGCCAGAATTTCACTGTCCTGGCCGTTAAGGTACTGGATGTTCAGCGACGTGCCTTGGGACACAGGGAGGGGGGCAGAGGACTGGCCAAACTGCCACTGCTGCAACCAGGGGTGGGATTTCCCAGGGCCTTGCATGGCAGTGGCAGAATTAAATCTCTTAAAGATAATGAATCTCCTCAGATGTGGCCTTTTCTGGTGTAATGATTGAAAGGGTCTAGTGATTGATGTGTTAAGCCATGGGGCAGCAAAACTCATGGGCAAAATCAGGCAAGGAAGGTCCACAGAGATCATCGTTGCTCAGGACCAACCATGCATGGTGCTCAGGAGCAAGAGGGCACGAACTTCGTCATACATCCAGCATTTAGGGCCAAAAGAAGAGTCTCAGCATAGGGCATGCAGCCTGCTGGAGAGCCGGGACACCCTGTAGCACCCAGGGGGGCCACCTAGGAGGAGGGCCGGGGTGTCTCCGCGTCACCCGGTGCTGCTGTCCCTGCTGCAGGGCGGAGTGGTGGGCATCACCATCGACTGGAACTGCGACCTCGACTGGCCTGTCCGGCACTGCAAGCCTGTTTACCAGTTCCATGGCCTCTACAATGACGATAGTAACGTCTCGCCAGGCTTCAACTTCAGGTGAAGGCACCCCGCTGCCTCCCCAGGCAAGGTCTGAAGGTGGGGGTTTGGGGGATGCCACAGCACTCGGTGGGCGGCAGTAAATCCAGGACTGTCCTCCAACGTAGGTGCTGGTTTTGCAATGCCAGACAGCAGTGCTTGATGGAATGGGACAGGGAAGCAATAACCCAGTCCCTCTGGGGGTTAGAAGAGGGTCAGGAGCATTCTCAGACCCCATCCTGCTCTGCATCCCACCAACGTCCCAGTGCTGTGAGGTGGCAGGGGGTGGCAGACACCCATTAACAAGCCATTAACGCTCCCTATCTCATGGCACAGGTACGCCAAATACTACAAAGAAGATGGGACAGACAAGAGGACCCTGTACAAGGTGTTCGGGATCCGGTTCGACATCCTGGTGAACGGCAAGGTAAGGGCAGGTGGGCAAGGGTGTCAGCAGCACCGTAATGCAGCGCCGGGTCTCATGGGGCCGTTGTATGGACCACATCTATCAGCTGCAGTTCAGCCTCTGGTTTTGTCCCAGAACAAACCCACTTCAGGGGTTTGGGAGGACCATGGAAAGCTGAAACCTTTCACTGACATTTCCAGAACACTTGTGTTTATCTTTATTTATTTATTTTATTTTCCCCTCTCTTTCTTCCCACTGGGAAAGAAAGCTTTCCCTGTGGCACTCCCACTGGCAATATTTAAAGGGTATGCGTTCTCTTTTTTTTAGTTAGAAATACAGGAAGCAAAATAATTTCAACAAACCCAAAACAACCATATTTTTCTGTTTGACGAATGAGTTTAAAACCAGCTCTTAACCAGCTTCTGTTTCTCTGGGTTGTGGGAAATGTCGTGGCTGGAGCTGCTGCCAGGCTCCTCAGCTGAGCCCTACCTGTGGCTATCGCAGCCTTCTCCTGCCGTGAGCTCGTTGCAGCATCTCACCACTTCCCTCTGACTTTTTACAGGCAGGCAAATTTGACATCATCCCCACCATGACCACAATCGGCTCTGGAATTGGTATTTTTGGAGTGGTAAGTTTGGTTTCAGCCCCTATTTTGTGTCTGATTAGTGCCCTGGTGATGAGCAGGAGCGGGAAGGAGATGCCCAGTGCCCCGTTAACGTGGGGAGCAGGGACCCGTGGCCATGGGCTGAAGGGATCCGATGTCCTGCTGGGCAGCCCTCCTGACAGCCGCATGTTGGATGCATTGCTAAGGGGGTCTGGGAGGTGGTGAGCAGCAAGGCGCAGCCCCGAGATCCTGTTTCGTTATGATGCTTAAAGACTTTGGCACGACTCAAAGGGTGCGTGCACTGCGTGTACCCAAAGGGGAAGCATTTAATTTCTGTTGAAATTGCCCGGTGTCAGTCCCAGCAAGCTTCTTTTCTGCCCTAAATGGACTTTTGGAGGATTCACGCTCTTCAGCAGCTCCACGCAGTGGGCTGAAGCAGAAGTGACCCCAGTTTGTGGGACAAACCCGGACAAACTGGGAGCACAAGAGGGCACAGGCGAGCTGGAAGGGCAGCCCCAACCCTGCTTGTGCTTTGATTCAAGGCCTCTGTGCTCTGCGACCTGCTCCTGCTGCATTTCCTCCAAGGCCGGGACTACTACAAGCAGAAGAAATTCAAGTACGCGGAACAGGAGCCTGTGAGTACCGGCACATCCCTCCCTGCCAGAGGCTCTCGGTGGGTGAACGTGGGTGCGTGCCCCGAGCCCCTGGGGCTGTCCGAGGCTGGGAGCCGTGAGTCTCCCCTCCAAAATTACTTTCTGCATGACTCACTCACTTTCTGAGACCATCCCTGTGACCACAGGATGTTTGCTGTCCTTCCATAGGATGTGAAAGCAGGTTCCCTCAAATTCACCTGAGAATAAGCTCGCATGCTGGGGGTTAGGAGCTGGTGCTTCCCAGCTGCTTGTTCCCCTGGTGTTAGCAGGGGGCAGGTCTGTAAAAGAACTATTGTTTTCTCTTCTTTAACCCCCAGTCAAAGTCACATAAGAAAGGGAAGGAGCTGGACAACACGCAGTGAGAGGTGAGCGGGGTTTCCCCAGCCCAGCTGGTGTATGGTTATGGGTCTCAGGGGTTCCTAAGGCCCTGGAAGGGCACGGGGTGGGAAACAGCAGTGGGCTGTAATGTCTGATGTGGCATCTATGCTTCCCGGGGCAGGCAGGGTGGGGATGTGGGATGGACGTGGGGTTTTAGGGTTTTAGGCAGCAGCATCTCTCCAGGAGGCGAGTTGGGGGCAGGACACCGAAGCCACCGTGCACCTCTTTCTCTCCAGCATCCACGCTGACCGACAAACCTGCACCTTCCTCCTCCTCCTCCTCCTCTTCCTCTCCCAAAACACAGCCGTCATCCCCAGCCCCGGCCCCAAGGCCAGCAGGAGCAGCATCCAACGCCAGCTCACGTGAACGCAGCACCCTGCAGCCAGGGCAGGATCTGGCCGGCCCAGCGCCCTGCATCTGGCAAGGCTTGCTGTGATGCCGGGGTGGGTGACACCTGCACGGGGCACAGGGGCCCTACACTTGCTACAGCACCCACAGGACCTCCACCAGCCCTGCCTGGGGTGCCAGGGCCGTGCTGGGGTATCCTGCACCCCGAGCCCTTACAGGAGAGCATCGCTGCCTTCCCTTCCCCAGCAGTGCCCCTGAGTGGCTCCGGATTGAGGAGAGGGGAGTGGAAGGAGAGCTGGCAAGAACCATGCCCCAGTCCCCCAGCATGGGAAAGAAAGGGTTATTTTGTGAGAATGTATTTTATTAGAAAAATAAACCTTTAGTTTTTCTACTACATCTTTTTGCAGCGCCCATGCTTGCCCTGGGCAGGATGTGGGGTACGCGGTGGTTTTCAGCACTGGGGAGTCTGTGCACGCAGGACAGCCCTGCAAAGCGGGCTGGAGCACCGAGCCTCTGCGATGGAGCTGGCGGAGGCTCCCCCGGGCTCTGCCCTCCCGTGCGGGGCCCCTGGGCCTCTGGCCACGAGCACGGCTTCTTATCAGCATCGTCACTTGGGTTTCCGTCTCAGACAGGCCGGCTGGCGGGGAGCCACGAGGAGCTGCTGCCCTGCGCCAGCTCTGCCTGCTGCTGCCCACGCCAGCAGGGCAAGCAGCGCTGCCCCGCTCAGCTCCTTCCCTCCAGCTACCAAAGCACCCCGAGGAACCCCTGCCCCTCTGGGCTCTTTGCCCCCAGCTGCAAAACGGCCCTGAGCAGCCCCTGTCCCACGCTGCTGGCTCTGCCCGGGGCTGTCGGGGTGCACCAGCTCAGACCTGCTGCGCTCTCTCTTCTGCCCACTTTTTTGGAGAAGCTGACATTTCGAAACTTTGCAGAAGCTAAAATTTTATCTCGGTCACTTCAGAACTGGATTGCAGCTGCCTTGGGGAAGTCAGCAGAGGGCCGTGGGGATGCTGCACCCGCTGCAGGACGGGAGCGGGCACCAGCAGCACGCAGGGTGCACACGGTGTCCCGAGTCCTATGGGACATGGGCTGCAAGCAGCTGAAATTTGGCCATGAGGTCAGCAGCAGTTAACATCAAGCTGTCCATCCCCCACGGGGAGGTGATTTGCTCTCAGAAGGATGCCTCAACTTTCAAAAAATATATATATTTTTAAGGCTATTTTTAAGGTTGGGTTTGTTGCTTTGTTTTTTTCACCCATTCTCCTGCTGGGAGCTGTCTGGTTGTGCAGTGGTGCAGCTCTCCCCAGCAAGGCGCAGCCAGCAGAGGGGACTGGCAGACCGCTTCTCACATCCACGAGGATCAGAGGCAGCGCAGCGACAGCGTTCGGGTTCACCTCTCGCACCCGCTTAAACGGGGTCGATCTGCAGGCAAAACTGAAAATAGCCAGGGCAGGGCTGCGGGTGGAGCAGGGCATTGGTTTTGGCTGCTTTATATTTCTAGCTGCTTGTAATGCAAAGCCTCCGTTCTTTCCCAAGGAAGTATTAAAAGGCAGAATAGGAAATTAGGAGAAATGCTACTTGTAAATGATTCCCTGCAGTTGCTATTCAAAACCTCTGAGCTGGGATCCCTGAAAGTCCCAAGACTGCTTTAAACACCATGGGAGGGTTTATTTTCCATGCTTGCTTTGTAAGATACACGATTTGGGAATCCTTGCCTTTGCCTTTTCCTCATCAACCACCTCCAGCAGGACAAGAGGCTGTAATTCGAATTCTTTCACCAACACAAGCTCCTCATCCAAGCCAGTGACCCCAGGGCCTGCGGCTTTCAGGTGGAGACCATGCAGAGCCTGGAGGAAATGAACAAATGTCTGCTGTGAATGGAAACCAGCCCCCTGTGCGGTGTGAAAAGGTTGGGAAAGCCCACGGCAACTGCTGGGGCCCTGCCTGGTGCAGGAGAGGCTGGAGCTGGTGCTCAGCGGGGAGAGCATGGAGGAAAGGCTGGCACGGTGCTCTGCTGAGCACTGCAGCTCCCAGCCCCTTCTCCCATTGCCTTTCAGTTTGGTAAAACCCATGGCAAATTGCTGAATGCAGGATTGTAGGGAACAGTTAAAGGTCTGCAGACGTTAAGTGCTGAGAAATGGATGTGATGAGAGGTTTCAGGTTGTCCTGTGAAAGCAGTTCCCTGCGGTGTGCTGGCAGCTCCGGTCACGGAGGTGTTTCAGCGCAGACCCCAGCAGGGGCAGGACCATCCTCGCCCCTCGGTTCTGACCTGCTGGTGCTCTTATGAAAGTTCCCGTGCTTGGCATACATTTGGCCATTTGAAGCTGTAAAAACGTGCCCAGTGCCTCATGCAGATCTCTGACCTCTGAGCAGTGAGCACAGCATCACAGAAACCCAACGGGACTTGGTCATCGTGCGAAGACCCCTCAATGCCTGTTGTGTTGCTTCCTAATTATGCTGTGACAATTGAGCGTGTTTGCTTGTTTGATTTAAAACTCTATTTAATTGAGTTTGGGCTTTTACAGCATCATTTACCTATTAGAAAAGTCCTAATAGAAAAGTAACCCTTGGCAAATTAAGCACTGCCTCCCCTGAGCCAGGAGGGCAGTGCTGCTGCTCCCGTGTTACAGAAAGGGAAACCGAGACGCAAGCAAATAATTTCTGAATGTGAGCAGAGACGTGGTGAGCAGCTTCTGCCTCCGAGCGGTTATTATTACTGGTGAAGGTTACCAGGTTGGACCTGCAACAAATTTATCTTTTCCTCCCCTTGGGCTTGGTTACTCTGACATAAATCAAGTGGCACAGCTATTCTGGAAGGGAAATTGCAGAAAAACTTATTCTGCAATAATTGTGCTGGTTAGTGATTCTGCAGAGATGAGGGACGGTATTGCAACCTCTGCAGAGCTGGCAACATTTAATCATGATGTTTGCGCACAATTCCCAGCACAATGAGGCCCCGATTTCCACCTGGTGCTTCTAGACACCATAACGATGCAAATTAAAAATGATTAACACTAAAGAAAGAGGCGGCCCCTTCTTCCACAATCCCCCCTATCTCTAAGCCCGCTCATTCCTTCTCTGGCAGAGTGGGCTCCTGTTTATTTTTAACCTAGCCCTCCAGATAAGACATTCTTGAATTTTTCCCTAAAAAAAAAAACACACACCTGCCTTTCTGGTTACACTAATTCCCATTCCCTCTTGATTTGGGAGAGTGTTTTCAGCTGGATAAATCCCCCGGCTGACAGAAGCACAGGACTGACAGCACTAACTGATGATTTTATTTCCCTCTGTCCCAATGACACATGTTCTCAGGCCAGATTATGCTGTGTGGGGAAAGGTCCCTCTCTGCCATCACCACGTTGGACACGTGCAGGGCAGCCTGCAGCCCCACTGCCAGCCACACGACAGTTATTACAGCTCATTTTCACCGCTGCCAGCTCCGCTGCACTAATTACGCCACGCTATTTTCTTTCGCTTTCTTTGGTGGAGTGCTCTCTCCTTCTCTTATCTATTCCTAATTGCTTTATTGCCTTCTTTTAGAAAGCGTAAAAGTCAAAAGTGGCCAAATGGATTCTGAATATAGCAACCGTGAAGTCGACTGAGCAGCTCTTTAGCAGCGGTGCATCAGGATGGCTGCAGCTCTCAGAGCTCTGCTGCTGGCACCAGCACGGATCCTGCTTCACTGCTGCGGCACCGCGAAGACATTTGGCCCAAGCTGTTCTTAAAAGAAATGCAACATTTTTTTCTACCTAAGCTCACCTGTGAAATGTCTGGGGAAATGTAAAGTCTCCCTCTTGTGTCTGCAGCTCAAGGACAGGTTAACCACCCCTCCAGGCCCCGCACCCCAAAAACACGTAGGAAATACTAAATGCCAACCGTCCACCCCCAGACACTATTGAGCAGAAATACCAAAGTTTTATTTTAACCTTGTTACAGCCATCCTGGTGTAAGCATCAGATAAACGTTACTTAGGACTCTTTTGCACTGGCCATGCAGTGCAATCACTTGTCTCTTATGGAAAGGAAACTGAGGCACGTGGGTTTTGTTTTCTGGGAGAATCAGCAGCCTGGGACTGAGGTTTGTTAACCAGGTTACTGCATCAGGTCAAGTGCTGGCAGTCTTTGCCAGAGGCAATAGTTTCAACCCCTGATGTTGGTGCTAAAACTGTTTCAGACATCCCTGGTGATTTAAGCTGACTGATGTTAAAGGAGACAGGTCTTTAGGGGACGATCCTCAGCACTTCCCTAACATCATCATCCTGACATCTCGAAGCCAGAAGTGAAGCAGCCCAAATGACCTCTGAAACCCCCAAAAACACTTCTTGGCACTGCTTATGACAAGAAGAGCCGGAGGCTGAAAGTTTCATTGCTCAGGAAAAGCAGAGATCAGCCTTTGCCTGGGGCACAGGGGGTGCACTGTGTGGGGATTTCAGGCTCCAGGACTCAGCAGGGCCCTGGCCAGGTGCCTCGTGGGGCTTTGTCCCATCAGAGCGGGATGCCAGGGATAAAACCCAGCTGTGTGACTGTGTGCATGGGACCCTGCAAGGCCTTACGAGAGGTGGATGCCATCACTGTATCGGCCTTTTTCATACTTCTAGGTGATTTGGAACAAGAAAGTGCCAGGATTTGGATGTGAAGCCAGTGAGGCTTTGTCCCCAGGCAGCCCCATGAGCGCTGCCTCTGCTCTTTGTGCAAGGACAGACCTGAGGCGCTGAGGGACTGATAATGCTCTTCAGTGTGATCCTGAAACTGCTGCCTTCCTCAAAGGGCACAGCACCACGAACACATACCTGGACCCCAAAATGCTACAAGGATGCCTTTTTTCCTACCCTGACCCTGGCGCCCAGCTGGCATCTTGGCAAAACCCTGCAGGCTGCTGCACCCCCTTACAGTGGGTCTGTGCTGCCCCGCACGGCTCCTGTTGGACATGACCTTGAGCACCTTCTGCTCAAGACCACCACAGAATCAGTCAGGGCTTCTGGTTTTACCCAAAATGAGGCTCCACTGCCCCATGCAGAGAGCAAACATGGCCTGGGAGGGAAGCACAAAATGCTGGCAGCCTTTTGTGCCAGGCTTTGCTGTTGAAAGCAGGTCCTAGAATTGTCTTGCTTCCTTATTTCTGTCAGATGGGCTTTCTGCATGGAAAAGGAAAAGAAAATGTATTTCCAGATGCTAGTGATCTATCCAAGGGTGGAGAAACTGTCCCTACTGCTTTCCTTCGGTAACCATTCCCTCGATGCATCGTTTATATTTTTGGTTCTGTTTCTTTGTTGTGTTTGCTGTAGAAAGGAATTGTGTACCTGAAATGCAAGACTGGACCCAATAATACTTAAAGACACTAAACCACAGAAACACCGGCAGAACTATAAATAAAATACCTTGAAAGGGATGAACCCTCAAATTGCCAATAGTAAAAACTTGCAAAATCAAAAAGATATTTGTTGGTCACTGTAAAATGTCAGCCCTACCACCTTCCTCTCATTCACATTACGCTGCTGTCCACGAGATCCCAAAGCCCTTCTCTGCCCCAGTGTTTCTGGCTCATGGGGAATCAGCTCCACTGGGTTTTCTCCCTGATGATCCTTCCTAGGTTTCTAACACAGGGATCATTTAGCTGAATGTATCAATTCTCTAATAATCAAGCTTACAACCACGCATGCACTCACCTTCTAGCTGGCTGGATAAAGAGAAAACAGACTGGTTTTGTTTGTTTTTCAAAATAAATAAGAGGGCAGAGAAAGTTGTGGTCATATAATGGGATCCATTAAAATTGCCAACAAGCCAATTTAAAGATTAATAGTAGGCAAATAAGCTCTCTGAGGTTCCAAGGGAAAATCAAAACATTTCAGCTCAAAATATTTTGACTGCATATTAGCAGATCTGATAAATATTTTAGGTAATAAAGTGAAAGGGCATTAACCCCAGACAAACATATTCATCCGTAGTTCTCTGCTCAGCTGCACATGGTCTACCAGGGTGACAAAGCACATTTCTGCAGAAAATGCAAGACTTCGATGCATACAGTAAGTTGCTATAGGGTATGTCTGACTAACAGACATGTATCCACAGAATGAGTAAGGGAAAAAGTTCATGGTCATTTGCACAACTTGCAGAGAATTTTGGTGTTTTAGTGATTTTGTGCCTTAATTACATGTTGGTACTTCTCTAAACACTGTGAAGACAACCTGACCAAGGTCTTTTTGGAATGGGAAACAAAAAGTTTATAGTAAACCACAAGCTGTATTATTAACATGTTGAGTTATTTTGCGATATGAAATACTTGTTAATAAGTTAATTTGTTTCCAAAGCAGAGGGTTATTTGAAACCCGCTGGAAGTAAGGGCAGGACTTTTCCATCCGCTTGTCACAGCAGGAAGGAGCAGCAGTGTGCTGCAGGTTGAGTCAGGGCGAGGATTTAATCCAACTGCTGCTCTCAGGCTGAAGCCAAGATCCCTGGTGGGGACACTGGCTGTGAATGGGGTCACAGCAGAGCCCAGCCACGAGTCACTGGGCACAGTTTCGGTGTCACCAGTCCTGCAAGAATCGCACCTCGTGGCTGGCTGCAGGGGGAACCCCTCGACCCAGGCTCTCAGGGCCAAGTAGGTAAGAGAGAGCTGTGTGGGGATGAAAATAGAGCCAAAACGTGAGTCATGAAATGAGGGCGTCTGCCTGCAGGGACTCCTCGAGTGGAATCTGTTGATGTGCAGTGAGCGTTTCTATCCGATGCCATAAAACTTCAGAAAGCGCATACGTGGTCAGGGCTGGCTGCTAGCGCTCTGGAGCCTGGCTGAGGGGACATGTGGCCGTAGGGACACTGTGGGACGAGGGGGGCAGCGTCCCTGTGGCAGCACCCTGGGGTGACAGCCCGCCTTTGTGAGCACCCAGCACGGGGAGCAGCCACCCAGCTGTCCCCACTGCTGTCTGCAGGTTTGTGCCCGGTGCGCCCCGCCAATTAGCACACAGAGTCAGAATCCACACGAAGACCGTTTAATTAACTAATTAATCACACAGCTCTGCCCCCTCACAGCCCGTCCCTCAGCCTGGAGCAAGAAGGACCCCCAGGTCATGGGGACCATGCGCTCCCTGCCAGGCTTCCCCCACCCGGTGTCCTCACCCCCCACCCCAGGCGTGCTTCTGGTCGTCCACCACACTTCAAAAAAATCAAAATAAAGGAGGAGGGACCAAAAAACGAATGCTTTTGCCTCAAACTCCCCAGCCGTGCGGGGCGGCCGGCGGCCCCGCCTCGCCTCACCTCAGGGCGCCGCCAACGGCCGGCGGGAGGCGCGGCCGCCGCCAGCCAATGGGAGCGGGCGCGCGGGCGGCGCGGTGCCGGCGGGGGGCTGCGGGCGGCAGCTGCGGGCGGCGCCGGGCTGCGGCGGGCAGGTGAGCGCGCGCGTGCACGAGGCTGGGCGGGAAGGGCGGGCACGCGCCTGGCGCGGGCTCTCCCCTCTCCTGTCAGGCGGGGCTGAGGGGCCCCGCGGGAGGGGACGGGGCTGCTGTCGCCGTCGCTGTTGTCGCCGCTTCGGGCCGCCCCGGCCGCCTCCCCTCAGCCCCAGCCGCAGCCCCTCGGGGTTTTTTTCCCTCCCCAGAGGCCGGGGGAAGGCGGGCAGCCGCGGGTCTCCTCAGCGGGGGGCTGTGGAGGGCGGCGGGGGGGCTCTGAGGGGGGCTCCTGAGGTAAAGGGGGGTGGCACCGGGGTCTCGCAGCCGGGCTGTGGGGCGGCTTGTTGCCAGATAAGGCGAGCCCTTATCTGCTGTTATCTCTTCTGCCTGAAGAGCAGAGCCCGAGGCCTTTGCTGGGTCCCGGCGGTCAGAGTTTTGGGACAAGCTGCGTTCCCTGCCTTGTGGTGTTTCTGTTCTGGAGCTGTCTCCGGCTGTTTCTTCTCTTTGCTTTTGGGATGTCTCCTTGACGAGCTGGTGTGCTTCGTGCTGGGCACAGGTACACACACACATCTTGCAGGACAGCTCCTGGCCCTGCAGAGCTGCTCCCCAGCCTCGCCCAGCCCTTCTGGGACACCCCTCAGGGCAGCGGTGTCTGCCTGCCCCAGCATTGCCCCAGAGGATGGTGAGGCGCTCCCACTGCTTCACAGAACTCGTTTGTGCCTTACTTCTGCTGTGGGTTTCAGAGCCAGTGCCTTCCTAACTTAGGAGTTCATTAAGCCCTTAATGTCTTGGCCTGTCACAATGTTCCTGTGCTAACCAGCTTTTTAAAGCCCAATTTTACTTTGCTGGGAAGGGTTTAGGGGATTTCTCTTCCCCAGGGGCTCTTGTGGGAGAGCTACAGTGGGAATCTCAGCCTGCAGTGCAGGGCTTGGCTGGGGGCTTCCTCCTCCCGCAGAAGCTGTCTTTTTATTTTGGTCCTCTAGGCTAATAAAATATTATCAAGCTCCTGTATCTCTGAACGAAATGCTTCTGCAGAGATCAAAGGACGGGTCTCAGGTTGTTTTTCTTTAGGTCTGGATGAGAGAACGGCGGAGGAGGGGTCCCCGCGAGGCTGCGTGCCACCCTGCAGCGAGTACGGTCTGCAGCAGCTGCCAGCTCGGTGAGTGCAAGCATATTGAATTCTGGCTGTGTGTCCACAAACCTCAACCAAACACCCCCTTTCCTCTAAGAGGAAGAACATCTGTGATATGCTGTGGGGTGGGGGGGTCCTCAAGAGGTTTCATTTTTCTTGAGAAAGCTGTGGGACGTGTGTCTTCATCGATAAGCGTTGTACACCAGATGCAGAAGCAATTCTTGTCCTTCTCAGCACGCCAGCAGTAGCAGCACAGGCAGTGCCTGTCTGTGCACGGTCTGACACTCTTCAACTTCTCTGCGTAAGGAGACGGGAGGCTCTGGGTGGGGAGCAGCTTATCTGTTTTGTTGTTTTTTGTGTGTGTGTTTTGCTTTGGCATCAGCTGCTGGAGCTGGACAGGGAGCAGTGGGGTAGTACTGCAGACCTGAGGAGTTCCTGACTGCAGTGCTGGCCCAGGCATCAGATGAAGAGTTTTCAGCTCATCTCCTCTTCTCAGTGCACCATTGCAGCCCTGTGACAAATGCTGTGGAGATCCTTTCTCTCCCCAGCATCTGTGTGGGTGGTGGTCTCCCTTGCAGTTCGAGAGCTCCTGCTAGCCCTGGCATAACTCCGGTCCTGCTGCAGCAGAGGAGGTATTGCAAAGGGCAGCAGAGCAGCAGTGGTTGCTGGAGGAAGAAGTCGGGGCAGCAGTCACTGCAAGAGCTTGTGTGGTTTACACACTGGCTGGGTTTGAAGAGGTGGCACCGTGCTGAGTGTGCCCCTGTGCTTCAGCTGAGTCTGCTCGCCGGGGTTCTGCCTGTCAGGGTGCTTGTCCTGAGGCTGCTGAACGTCGTGTTACCCCAGCTGTGTGGAAGGAATATCGCTGTCTGCCAGCCAAATCTTCTGTGAGGTACCAGTGCTGACTGTAGAAAAGCCTTTGCAGACTCACTGCTACCTGGAGCAGGGGAAGGAGGAACTTCTGTGGTAAGAGGATTCAGGAAAAGCTGCCACAAAGGCTGGGGGAGCTGGAAGGCTCCTGGGGGCCATTAGCAGGGTGCTCTGAGTCTCCAGAGTGTGTCTCTGAGAGGATAAATCTGGTGCAAAGCAGGGCGTTTGGAGCTAGTGGGGGGAAAGGGACACGTGGTAGCGGGGAGCTCGGTGTGAGGATGGTTCCTGTGCTGGAGGTGTGCAAGGCAGTTTGCTTGGTAACATCTGAAATCGATGCATGCAATTAGTCAGCCCTGGGAAGGTGCCTTCCACAGCTGGAAACCCCGATGAACGCTGGGGGCAGGCTCTGGTGTGTGAGGTGGCACAGCCCCACTGTGCACGCAGACAGAGCCGAGCAGGGGGAGCAGGCAAGGGGCAGGAGGGCAGAGAGTGTGCCTGAGGCTGGCTTTGGGCAGCACCAGGCTGTTGTAGCAGCTTTCCTGACGCCTGTGAGGGCAGATGAGCAAATGCTGCTTCTGGGTAGTTTTTGGTGCCCTTTAGCTTGTGGGGTGTGTGACTTGTGGTGTCCCTCTGGCAGCTGCTGGCTGCTGCCACCCAGCGCTACCCGTGGTGCCCAAGTCTGGTAGCGGGGTCTGTGCTTTTCCTGAGGGGCTGTGAGGAGGCAACTTACCCAATCAGGCACAGGCCAAAAGCAAGGCTCGGGTCGGCAGTGTAAAAGTGGAATAGAAATCTGGTGTAAGGCAAAATGTTCTTGGCGTGTGTCTTAACAGATAGGAAAGCAGATGTGTCTTGGGAAAAGTAGCAGTAGCCCTCACCCAAATCCTTCCACTTACCTTTTTTTCTTCATGGCTTCACATCCCTCTTCTCTGATTTCCAGTCCTTTTTTGGTGCAGGACATCGCTTGCTTCTCAAGGCCAGTTGTTCCAACGTGCAGGGAATGACCAGCAGCAAACCTGCAGTTAAACGAGAGGAGTATCCGGCTGTAAACGTGGTGAGGATGAGAGGAGCGTGCAGGAGCAGCTGCTGACATAACTCCGTCCTTGTGGCAGAGCTGAAGCCCAGCAGCTAAAGCACCAAAGCTCTGGCTGCAGTGGAGAAATGAGGGGTACCAAACAGTCACATCATCAAGCGTGCTGCTTTAATTAAGGCCGGTTAAGCTTAGCATGTCTGGAGAAAACCATCTGAAGTGCTCAAAAGAAAATCCTGATAAATGGGGATAGGACATCGTTCTGAAGGGTAACAGTGGAAAGGCACTGCAGTGACTTCAGAGGTGCGTGGGAGGGCGGTCTGTGCTGCTCCGTGCGGTGTCAGTAGGCATGCGGGTGTGTGCCAGCACCCAGGAGACTTGTGTGGTTAGCCACGGGTGGTGGTTTTAGGGGTTGAGTCTTTGGTCACAGAAGGATGTGTCCAGTGAGGAACACTTGCACCAGAGCAGGATGCTTTGGAATTTATTGCAGAATGATCAAGAAATGGAGCTGTGCATCCTGCCCTGTGCCACCAGGTGCATCGGGCTTCAGCCCCGGAGCTGCCCGTCCTGCAGCTGGGGGCCCTGCTGCTGGGCTGGGGGAGAAGTCAGCAGGTGACAGGCACAGGGTGGAGGAGATGACACCAGAGGTGTGGGAAAGCAGGAGGACCCTGAAGGCTGCTGGGGAAGGCTTCTGCCTTGCTTCCAGGGCTGCTATGAATTAACAGGGGTAACTTCTTTTTTTTCCAGAATTAAACTTCAGGCTATCAAAAAATCCATCCGAAAGTCTGACAGACTTTACCATTTTCCTGGTTTTCAGCAGCTGAGGTGGTGTTTTCCAGCCTGTTTGTCCTGTACCCTATAAAAATCCAGTCATCTCCCAGTGTTTATCAGTTAATGACAGGGTGCAACCAAGCACTTCATAACTTGCATCCATAACTCGCTTAGGGCTTTGCAGGCTGGACTTGGTGGTTGCATTTCTTAGTGGGTCAAGACAAGAAACATTCTTCTGTTCCATTACAGTCTTCAGCTTTATTTTTAGCATAAGTGATATGGGCAGAAACAGATGGAGAAGTATAAATATTTGTCATAAGTGTCAAGTACACGACACTGGAAGATGATTTCATTGCTTCCATGTGCTCGTGTCCCTGGATGGGGAAGTTCTCCTGAAAGGTCTAAACCTTCTGAGGGCACAGCCTGAGAGGGAGGGCTGTCCCAGGGCAGCTGGGAGCTTCGCATCGCAGAAACCTGCTGGGTTAGGGAGTGGACCTGGCTGAAAATAAATCCCTGTATTTTATTCCTTGATGGAAGCCAGCTCATGAGCTGAGTCATGCCTTGTGATAAAGGTGTGGCTGCTTGAGGACTTGTTTCTGTTGGGTGGCTGCCCTGAGCAGGCATTATTTTAGGGTGAGTACCTCTGAGAGAGCTACGTATCTCTTTTTTTGCCAGAAGCCATGTGGGATTAATTTAGCCTGCTTGTCTCTGGGGTAGTTTCAGTGTTTTCTGCAGGCTGGTGGCTGTGTGCAGGGAAGGCTCTGAAGTGTTGCGATTAATTCTTCAGCATTGTTCGGAGTTCATGGTGAAGTTGTTAGCTAGTTAACAGTGACTGCTCTAATTATTCTGGTGTGAGTATAAACAGTGAGGCTGTGATGTGCCGCTCTGCTGGAGCAGCGCTTCAATCGATGCGTTTTGGAGACGGAGGCATCCTTCCCCTCCCTCCTGGTCCCAAGCTGTGCTCTCAGCACAGCAGCGTCCAAGCGGGGACGCCCAGAAACCGAGCCCTCAGTTCTGCTGATCCTAGAGCTCAGTGGCAGCACTGTGCCAAACTCACTGCCTAATTTCTTTGCTCCCTTCTGCAGTCGCCTTCCCTGGCATCCTCCGCTTGCTCTCATTCCTGTCAGCCAGGAGGATCCCGTCCCATCCTTTTCGGCTGGCAGCAGAGCCTGGGCTCTCAGCAGGAGCCCTTGCTGTGGGGTGGGGTGGGGTAGAAGTACCTTTAGTGGTGGGAAGCACAGAGCTGTGTGCCGAGGTGGGAGGATGAGGACAGCTCCAGAACCCTTCTGTGCATGTTTCTGGGTTTGGCTGGCTGGTGTTTTCAGCTGAGTGACTCCATAAGTGTTTGACAAAGCACTGATGGCATGTTTTGGAGGACTGTTTGGTCTGTCTTAAACTGTACACGGCAAGACTCCTGGCTCTGCATAGCTGTGCAGATAACATTTTCTTCAGCTTCAGAGGGAAAAAATTCTTGCCTCTGGTGCTTTTGCTTTACGCTGATTTCTGCTGCGGCTGTTGAGCTCTAGGTATGCTAAATAAAAGCAAGTCCTGCAGATCCACAAAGCTCTGAACTGGAGAGGGCTGGTCTGGTTCGTAGGATATTAAATTAACACAGAAGACTGAATCGGTTTCTCTTTGCTGCAGATTTCCCTGGTAACACAAAGCCCCAGCTCACAGATAGACCCGAACGCCGAGTACATAGCAAGGGTGTTAAACGGAGCGGGCATGAGGGGCTCAGCTGGGGTGGGAACAAGGAATAAAGATGTGCTGTGGAGGCCCAGGCTGAATAACACCTTCTGAGGATGTGTTAGTGCTGGATTCACAACTGCTGGTGGCTGTGGGGCCAGTCAGTCATACCCAGGAGGGTCAGATTGTGCCCTGGGCTGCAGTCCCTGCACCTGCAGCTTGGTGCTGCATTGGAGCAGTGCTCAGCAGTCAGCTGCTGCTGGGCTGTGATTGTACCTGTGGTGCAGAGCTCATTCACAACTTTACCTTGCAGTCTGGTGAGCGCAGCAAAGGGATGAGTAACCCTATAGTTTAGTTTGGTTTTGCCCTGCGTTTTTTGTGGCATATTTAGCAACTTGGACTGTTGAGCCCTCCTAGTCGTGATAAGGAAAGACTTTACCACGGGTGTCCCCATCCCTCTCCCACCCCTAGGTAGTGGCTGGGTTCCTGTTCTAAAGAACAGAATTGAGCCCTAAAAACATGGCAGAGCTGGTGAGGACAGGTTTTCCACCTGCTTTTATGCAGGTAGCTTGGGCACAGCCTGCTGAAGCCCCCAGTTGCAGGTTGTCACAGCTGCAATAGCTAAAGCAGAGGAATGGGGCAGCAGCAGGGAAAAATGTGCCCGCGTGTCTTTGCA